GGCAACTAAATAGTAACGAGGATATTACCCCTACAGAACATCCAGATTACATCGCAAAACCAACACGCGAAAACCTGCTGGGTACATTTCAAATTACCCCGGCTATGGTACTTGCAAAATTGGGAAGGTTGGCTTCGGGAAAGTCTCAGGTTGTGATGGCATCAGACCATCTGTCCTGAAGCAGTGTTCAGAAAGTCTCTGTCAACCCCTAAGTGATCTGTTCCAACACTCCCTTGATGTAGGGAAACTTCCATGTGAATGGAAACGTGCAATCCTATCCCCTATCTTCAAGGGTGGTGACCGGCAGAATGCGACCAGTTGCTCTACTTCCAGTGGTATCGAAGATATTGGAAAGTCTCATTGACGACCACATGAGAAAATACTTCGATGGGACTAACCTTCTTCACGAAGCACAGCACGGTTTCAGGAGGGGAAGATCCTGCGTGACGAATCTTCTACTAGCTTGGAACGATTGGACACTATCCTGGGACAAAAAGGTACCAGCCCACGTGATCTTTCTCGACTTTGCGAAAGCATTCGACACAGTTCACCATGGTCTGCTCCTTCACAAAATAAGCAAGGCGGGTGTTTCTGGAGCACTTCTCGCATGGCTGAAAGATTACTTAGGCGAGAGAGAATTCTGCACCAAAGTCAACCGCATCCGATCATCCTGGCACACCTCGGCATCAGGGGTTCCTCAGGGTTCTATCCTAGGGCCGTTGATGTTTTTGATTTTTATCAACGACCTGCCCCCCAACTAAACTGCTCTGCGCTTCTTTACGCTGACGACGTAAAGATTTGGAGAGCAATAAACTCATCGGAAGACTCAGATAGATTGCAGGCTGACCTGCAAACTCTGGGAAATTGGGCTTGGCTAACGGAATGCCTTTCAACCTAAAGAAGTGCAAAGTAGTGCAACTTCATTCCGGCAGGTCACAGAGTGTAAATTACACCCTTGGTGGCCAGAACTTGAGTTGTGTTCCATCAGAGCGTGATCTAGGTCTTATTCTAACAGAAAAGCTAGACACCAGTGGAAATTACTCGAGGGACGTCGCCAAAGCCTACGCAACATTACACTTTATGCACAGGCAGCTGGGAGCTCTCACTCCCGAACTGTTCTTAAGGTTATATAAGGCATATGTGAGGCCACACCTTGAGGTGCATAATATCATTGCACCTCCGCTACTCAAAAGGGATGCTAACATTCTAGAAAGTGTCCAGAGACGAGCGACAAAATGGGTGATCGGCCTCCGCAACAAATCATATGAGGAAAGACTAAAGAAATTAGGTCTTTTCACACTTAGTTACCGTAGGCACAGGGGAGACCTCATCACCGTCTACAAGATCCTAAATGACCAGGCCCACCCAAATAAAAGCATCCTGCCATTAAGTGATTATAGGCTTCCACGAGGTAACCCGCTAAGGATAGCACACCAGAGACCAAAGACTCGAGTGCGATCACATTTCTTTTCGCTTCGTGTTTGCCGTCTCTGGAACGCTTTACCGGCGGCCGTGACTACAGCGCCATCTCTGGAGATTTTTAAGCGGAAGCTAGACAATCATGCAGAAATGCAAGGTTTGTGTCTCAATGGCTTATCCTCATAAAACTTAAAACCACACTGTCAATGGATAAGCGTACAAACTAAATCCCCACGACCTATTCTGCCTTCTCTCACTACTCTATCTTTTCCTTAGGTCACCTTTATTATTCCACTTATCTCAACCTATATTATCTACACTACAACCTATTTTTATATTATTATTATTATTATTCTGCTTTTATGACTACACCGAATGACCAACGGGAGTTAGGTCAAACTCCATTCACGGCAGCAATACAGTCCTAACATACTGCATACTACAAACCACATCTCGACCAATCCCCGCACCACTCCTCTTGGAGTCTACCAGAGCTAAAGCAGTCGAGTGTCGGGACTTACTACGCAGAAGCTCACCGAAGATCTGGAACCTCTACCTCACAATCAAGAAGCGAGCTCAAAGAAATCACTGGTTTATACTAGCTCGTAATCAGGATATTGGATATTGGATGTTAGTCCTGAAACACCCCATACTCCGAAAAACGTATGACTGATCCCAGCATCCTTCTGGAGTCAACCAAAGCTACGACATTCGAGTGATGGGACGAGCTACGCAGAAGTTTACTGAAGATCAGGAACCTATACCTCACAATCAAGTGGCGAGCAAAACTAAATCAACCTGGTTTATACTAGCTCGTAATAACTATGCTGGATATTAGATAACTCATAAAAAGGCTGTTGGATATCGGATTGTTATAGTGCTCCAATGAGTTACTTTTGTTTCTAGTGTCTTCTTTGTTTTGGCGTCGTATTGGAGTATTCTCTTTTTTTTTATTTTTACTGTTTTCTCGCATCATAGTTTCAATAAGAACTGTGAATCGATATTTTCTTCACAAAATTCCTCATAATAATGGATGATAGAGAGAAGCTGTTACTGAATGCCATGCAATTGTTGCATACACTTGGTTAATTGCAGGGTTATTATAAAGAGTTATGAGAGAGCTTTTTCGATATTAGTAAACAGATTCACACAAATAAATTCGCATCAAGTTTCGCTTCTTGACTGTCCCCAACTTTCTTTGAGTTCTAGAATAAATGTTACAGTTGGTTAGCTAGTTGTCTATACCACTACATGAGTGAACTTACTAACCGTAGAACCCTAAAAGAGGTTTTTGATGACCGCCTAAGTCGTCAGATCGGGAACTTTATGCCACACATGTCAGTTCAGTGAGCTTATACCTTGTAAACTCATACATATGTATGAGTATGTATTTCTAGAATAGTGAACAATTCCGTTAACTTAGTTTGTTATTTCGGTGAGTCAAATGCTTGTGAATTTTCCTTGTCTTAAATACTTAAAAGCAGGGTGTAATTCACACTTCTAGTTAATTTGTGCAGCATATATCTGGATGTATTAAATTACCATTTACTAGAGTCAGTTTTAAATATAAATTAACACTAACGATCAAGTAATGTTAAGTATACGGAAGAGCGCAATATCTTCTATTAGGTAACAAAGTTTGTTCTTCCTTGACAAGTAAATTATCGCTTATAGTCGAAGGATACTGAGCTCCCCTCCTATATCATAACTATCCGTAGGTAAGATTTCGTACGATTACTGTGCGTTAAAAAAGCACTGCTATTAAGTTGGTTTACCTTCTCTAAATAATCACATTTATGCCTGTTATAACTAGTTCAAACTGCTTGCATATTATATGCGAACACACCATTATAAAGTTTGAATAAAGTAAAACTGTCGGGAAATTAGGCAGACTAACATGGATTAACCTATGTGTTATTAGTTTTCATTGAGCTAAGTACAATCTACAACATCGGCTGAAAAAAGTTGTCACTGGAACGTAGTGTATCCGGATTCATCATAAAATATTCCTACAGACAGTTAGAAAAGGATATGGAAAGTAATGTAATAGAAGAAGATAATAGCAAGTCGTAAGGAACATCATTAGAGTTTGTCAGATTTTAATGGATAATAAACAAATAAAGCTTGATATTGGAGGACTTGGGCTCTTTAACTGTTGCCTTATGAGCTCGATGTTAAATGTAGGTCTTTTCAAAAACTATCGTAAAAAGGAGTCTGAAATCTATTCGGTTTACTCCTAGCAGCATAAAATTTCGAATTAGATCTCTTAATAGTATACTTCTCCTTAGGTGAGTGACTATTTTGCACATTTGAACGAATAACTGAATAAAGTTTGCGAAATCTGTCGCGTTAATTATTTGGAGTTTAGGCGTTTGAAGTATTTCAGGCCTAGTTTTTTCATAGATAAGTACCACTTACATGACTTTAAAAGATTCGACGCACTTAACAACTGTCTCTTCCTGGTTATAGATTCTCCAAGTCTCCGTCATCGTGACTCCCAAAGGATGAAGCCCGAAATGTCCTGTTCATGTGATAAGTCTGTTGTAATTTGGGCAGTGGATATTGGTATATGATGAAACCAAAACATCGTTACGCCTTCCACATCATAATCCGATAGTCATGCATTCAATCCTACTAAGATTGATAGGCATTCACTGCCATATAGTGCAAAACCAGGATAAAACTACTGTTCATTTCATCTTGATTTTCGATGGTTATTATAAGTGATATCGTTTTGTAGCCAAATAAACATCACAAACTCTACTTTAGAAATTCAAAACCCACGCAGAAAAGATTTTTTAAAAGATTATACGATTAAATGAAAGTATATTTTAAGTAGAAATTTACAAATCAGAGAAATAACTACGACTGAATGGACTTGAAATCTGGATCAAGTTCTAGCTTTCTGGTAACTACGGTCTTGGCAAAATTCTTTTTCATCAAGGTAAATTCAGAGATGTCCACGTGACGTCTGTATTGGCTAGATGTCAAACCAATCTGCTGTTCAAAGCGTTATTTACTGCGAGTCATGAGACGCATGCTAAAGAAAGTGCACTCGGAATAGCAGGGCTTGTACCATGACTTAGTACCCTTACATGAAGTCACTGGTTCTTTTTCTATCTGTCCAGGGAAATGTAAGTTGCATGGCTGAGATTTGCATTGCTGGACTCACGATCTATCGGTGACTTTGACGATTGTCGAGAATCACTTTCAGCGCCGCATATTCATGTCCATTTTATTTGAAGAGCAACGTTTCTGGTTCTATTTTATCTTCTTTCCTACTAAACTTTTGATTGTATGGCTTTCTTTTTCCATTCTTATTACGCTGTACTTCATACCGCAGAAACAAATCATAAAAAAACTGATGAATATGCGTTGATAATTCTTGTTCATTTCTTACAATTTTTTAAGTTTTAAGCTGATCTATCAGTCCGTCAGTTGTAAAGTGCATGGGAAATTTTTGAGATTAACATTTGAACATCACAAATAATTTCTTAAATTTTCTCTTTTCTTTGCTTATCATGTTGCAGATTCATTGAATTGCTTCCTTATAGTACTATAAAAAACATACTTCAATAGAAATGGAGTATAAAATTTCAATAAGTTCTTGGTCCAAGGAAAAGCTGGAAGACCAGTACTTACGATTGTATGATGATTATCTTACACTTAAAAAACATGCTTGTAAACAAGAAGAACGGATTAAAAAGTAAGATAAACAAAAATTAACTCAAGAGTTACCTTTAACTTTCATTACTAGAATGGCAACTAAAATTTTGCGGTTAGCTAGTGATAAAAATGATACTGAACCAGGAGCTGTTTGGAAGGAAGATTATCAAGAACAAATTGAAGTATTAGAACGGAAAAATGAGGCACTGACACGGAAAGTGGGTTGGTTTAATTGTTTTGTTTTTAATTACATCTCTTGTCAAGTTTTTAGTCAATTAAATCCATTACAGATCACACTAACAGCTGTACTTGGGGACAAAGATCAGTTTTTTCGTAGTATTATATATCAGCTTTTATCATCGTGTTGAAAGACGGAAATTCTAAGTATAGTCCTTTTTAATCCATTCATTTCTCTTGAATCCATTAAGCAACTATAGTAATTTAATTTTTTCACAACACTAACTAACAGTACGGCACTGATCAATTTTTGTCGAAAAAAAGACTTTTCATACACTGTGAGGAATTAGTTATCTATTTGGTAAAGGATAGGATGATAACCGAATATTCACCTTTTATCTTATTTCGGATTCATTGGACAAATGTATGGAGAAGGCTTAGGCATGGTAGTTTTTGAGACACTGTTTACTGAAGTTGAAGTCATAGCGGATATCCAAGCATCCAGTAAGTTTCTGGTACATCCAGCTGTCCAGCTGTGCATAAGTCAAAGTCATGCATTCCCCCCTGACCAAATATATAATCAGTCTAGTGATATCTTGCTGCAAATACTATCATATATTGCTTTGTTACTTAGAGATATTCTATTAGATGTCATCGAAATAGATCAAACGGTTAATGTGTTTCAGTGAATTCGTATATGCAGGTCTTAAGAATAGACTGTTTAAAAGTAAGTTTAACCAGCTAGAAACTACTTGTAATACTTGACTACATGAATGGCGCCACCTTAAAAGTTACTTACCTAAGCTGGTCATGTCTACTTCAAGGGAAAGTTAAGATTATTACAACTCTTTGTCCTTACTGGGGATCCTGCTATTCATGCTGTGACAGGTGTAAGCGAAACAGCTGAATGTATTAACTGTAAGACTAAATTAAGTCCCTTATCTTCCCTCATGTTATTTACCATGCTATATATAAATTTGAAGTGCATCAGGTTGCCAGTTTAAAGTAGTTTTGCGTTTTATCTTGATATGTTCGTTGGTTAGGGTGACTGTTCGTCAAACATTTCATAAATAATGTGCATTCATCAGCAATAAAATCATTCCTGTCCAATACAATTTGCGTTTATAAATTGCAGTTTTGCATACGATTTTCAATATGAAATAAATTAGGATAGGTAAACAATCGTTAAAAAGCACTTAATTACGTCTTCCTGTCATGATTTATGTCACACGGAAAACTGTGGAATTTTTAAGTTTAGAAAATCAAAAGATTATTTTGAGAAACTGACTTCTCAGCAAAATTTCACTCTCTTTTTAAGTAGTTAAGTACTCCTGTTTCTTCATGGAGCATAAAAATGATTTCAGGAAATAGCACATAAAAAGTGATCAGCTTGGAGCTTTACACAGAAGTAAATCACTCTGCTACCACAGTTCAGATTAACATACAAAGGGAAGGTGGATACGAAATATGAGTGTTAAAGGAGAGTACCAAATATTAAGGTATTTAATAGGAATTTTTTGAACTTTAAAGATGATACGAAGTGAAGTGCACTACTGTTATTGGTGCTGTTATTTCCACTAAAAATATCCACCTGCACCGCTGTAACCTGTCTTATCTCATTTTTATTCAAAGGCCCCAACTATGGATGCTTACCTTCACTAGGAATTCTGACTGGCATCTGACACTTTCCTACAGTATTGCTTTAGAAAGTAATTGACTTCAGGACTGATATCATGTTATTTCTGCACTTTTGGCTTTCTTCAAGCCTATTCATGTTTGAGACATCATGGCTTGTCGTAAAGGTAGTAGGTCAGCAAGAACAATAACGAAAATAACAAGTACTCTAGATAAATTACGAGTCAATTATGAAAGCCAAAAGAATAGTCAAAAGAGGCTTTACAGAGGAATGGGAGGCAGCATAGCTAACAGTGTGGAAAACGCATTCGTACGACACCTTACTTTGTTTTATTTCTTCCAAAAATTCTTATTAGACGATTATTTCTATCTCATATTATTAGGATTGTAATCCATATTATGTAATGTTGTCTCACTTGCTTCCTAAATCTGATCATTGACCAAACGTTTGACTGTAAATACGCTGGAATGAAAACTAATTCGTCGAAAATATAATTATCTTCAGTAGAAATGTGACCTATAACCACCTTTACTTCTTCCCAATATGGAATGAGGCAAAATCAGATCGATCTGTAAAACACTGTCAGATTCGGTATGTCCTAGTTACTTAGCCTTATGGAATTACAGGGTTAGGACCCAAGTTTAAAATGTCTAACCAATACGAGACATGGTTTGTAGCCCATGAGAAGTATTTCAACTGTGTTATATTCTGTCATGCAAAAAGGTATGCGTGAAACTTTCATTGTTTCTGTAGATAACATCATCACTATTAATTCCCGAATTTAAAGACCTGCATAAAGTTCACCCTGAACGACTGAGTGGTGTTATGATAACATCCAAACACCATAGCCAAAGTTTAGGCAAGTGGAAAAGTCAATAAAACACATGCACCAACTGCAACAATAAAACTACAAAAACAACTACATTACTGTCTTCACTGTGATTAGTGACTTCATTGGATGGCTAGTTTTCTCGGTTTTCTAACTACAGCTTATTTATTTGAAAAGATGAGAGCATCACATTTTTCATTTTTAGACAATAAAAAATTACTATTCTTGATGACTGCTATTAATTGCAAATCATCCACCTGAGCTACAAATCTTCTCTATTATTTCAAGATAGTTTCATTGTGCGTCGGTGGCACAGTGGTTAGGACTCTCGCCGACCATGCACATGGTCCGGGGTTCGAGCCCACGCCGGCGCACACCTGATATCTATGGTCGGCCTGCAAAAATTTGGGCTACCGATATCCATGCTGAAAATTCCATACTTGTACCGAAAATACAGTGTGGAATCAAGCTGTAAATCAAAAATAAAAAAAAAATAAATAAATTGTTGTCACGGTCAGTTTGAGCAGCATTTAATAGTTACTGGTTAATCCATTTGAAGAGCGGTGTCAAGTAGTCAGTTAGTCAATTTTAGACAAAAAGCAAAGTGGCACAATCAGTGATTATCGATCAGAAGCTGTAAACTTCACATGCAGAAGGATCATTAGGGCTTCGGGGCACAGTGGTTAGGATTCTCGCCGACCATGCACATGGTCTGAGGTTCGATCCCCTGCCGACGTACACCTGATATCTATGGTTGGCCTGCAAAATTTGGCCTACCGATATCCATGCTGAAAATTTCATACCTGTATCAAGAAAATACTGCGTGGAATCAAGCTGTAAACAAAAATAAAAAATAAAATGAGCGTATAAAATATATGGTAACGATGGTGATATTAATAGTTATTATCAAAAAGTGTCACCAAACGGGAAAAAAAGAAATGGAGCAAAAATTTCTGCAAACAACAAAAAATAACACTCATCAACATCTAGATTAGGATAAATCACATGACTTTGTCTGGAGATAACTTTTACTCTCCTCCAGATTTTTAGTTTTGATTGACATGTGGGCAGTGAATTCAATAATAATTCACAGTGCAAATAAGGCTAAAAGTTAAAAGTTTTTCTTTCAATCTTTACCATGATCATTGTGCAGTAGAATATACTATTTTTGTAACTTTATTAATTCACCTGCCAAATATCAAAGTTTATAACTTTACAGTGAATGAAGTTCTACCCTATCCCTGTTAAAGCTATCTTTTACTAAACTGAGATGTTTTTTATGACTGTAGATGTTTCCATAGAGTTGATTGCATCCGGAAATGTTAATAAGTGACTGGTTTTGGCTTCTTGAGACTTGTTTTTAGACAGGCTGCATTCTGTCTTACCAAAAATGATGCCATCTTGAAACACTAGATTTGCTATTCCCCCTCAGTATATGATCTGATTGTGCCAACTTTTTCACATTTTCAGTTGTTTTATCACTTTGGTTAAATAGCATTTGGTTGAATCCCAATAAGAAGCATGTAATGGAAAGAAACAAAATTTCTGGACTTTATCATCAGACACTATGAAAGGTTTACATTATATTCACTGACCTCAATTTTCAGCTTAAGTGATTCCTATTAGGCTTAGTAAATCACTAACACCACAGATAAATAAAATCCAGTTTTCATTTATTCCTTATTTTATATTAAATGAATTCATGAAAATTTGTTCGTATTTTATGTCTATTTGGATAAAATACAGAAATGTAAAATAAATTTCCATAATTTTTCTAATTCCAGTTAACTCTTGTGCAGAATCAATTAAATGTACAGAAGCAACGTGTTGGAAGCGCGGTATGTCCTCATAATTCCTGTTTTGATTTAAGAGAACATGAAATTATTCGACGATAGTTTTTTTTATTTACCCCATAAAAACCCGCATCAGGAAAAATTAAATAGTTATATCCTCTTGGAGAATAGCATACAATGGATAGGATTTATATGTCATCAGTCAGATGATCCACTAAATGCTTACTTTAAAACCTGATAGTTCAGGTCTCGGTTCTGCTCTCTATCTTGGATTTACACTTCTAAGTAGTCCCAATATGGCAATAAACAGCTGCCTAGGGATTCTCTATTCCTCATGGCTTTGTGATTAAAAAAGGATTAACATTTAACACCCTTTAATTGGTAATACAAAAACTATGAAATATGAATGAAATGTCGTGTATGTGTTTATGTGTATGTGACAAAACTACCTTACCAAAACAAATCATTTTACTGAATCTGTGGTACTGCTTACTTATTATTATTTTAGTGAAAAATATGACTTACGCTGATGTACATATTTCTTGAAGAGGTGACTGACACGTGACACAATCAACAGCAGAGAACAATTCAATTTACTAGAGTATGGAAGAGCGCACATGAAACTAAACAAAGTAAATCTACCAAATGTACAATGATAAAAGATGTATGAAGGAGGGAATAACCGAACAAAGATTAGCGAAGACTTTTCCGATACAGATAGAGTTTTATTTCCAATTCAACAAAAACTATCTAGCATTTTAAATTGCCAAATATTCCAAGTTCGTATACCAAAGATATAAATCAGTCATCTTCATAAACACAATATTTAAGAAACTGAATCCATTTAAAGCATTAACAACAGACAGGAAGACTGGTGACTAAAACAAATACGGAATACAAAAAAACAGAAATGTAGTCTGACTTTGAGGAGGTGAAAATCCTTTTTATAATCCAATTCTTTGAGTTTTTCATACGCTTACAATGTATCACTTGGGGACAATAATCTCACTGCTCTTAAAATTTTCGGTTTAATGCTATTGAGTAGCCTCTAACACTGACGCAAATTTTCCGAATACATTTTGATTTTTGACAATAGTTTGTATAACAACTGTTGCTTGGTACTCATAGTGAGTTTTAAATTGGGATACCGATTTATAACAATTAATATTTCATCAAATTTGTTGTTCTTGTCATTTTTGGTGTTTACTGTTGATTTTCTCAATTTTTTATCTAAATAGCCCCTTTCTGCCAGAAAGGCGAGTTCAGTTAACGTTCAAACAACAAACCGAAACTCAGTTATCGATGAGAAATCCATAAATAATTCAAATGCGATACAAACCTTGAGGTTTCAAAATTCTGCTCTGTAAGACCTCTAAAATATATGTATATAATTTGTATCATCTATATTTTTTTTTTGATTTACAGCTTGATTCCACACTGTATTTTTGGTACAAGTATGGAATTTTCAGCGTGGATATCAGTAGCCCAAAATTCGCAGGCCGACCATAGATATCGGGTGTGCGTCGGCGTGGGCTCGAACCCCGGACCATGTGCATGGTAGGCGAGAATCCTAACCACTGTGCCACCGACGCACAGTTTCAGTATCTTGAAGTCTGTGACTGTTTTCTAAATTCCGCTAAGAAATAAAATGGCCAAGATGGTCGATAGGATAACTAAAACAATCAGTTATTATGGTGTGGAAGTTGCTTCCCGATCATAGTTTCAAAGTACCAATTATTTTTAATATCTTTATTTCAATTTCATCCAGTCTTTACCGATTTCGTAGTTTTGTCATTTTCTGAAGGTAGAAATCTTTAACCAGTAAACATTTTTGCAAAGTCCTGTCTGGATTGTTCATTTTTCTTCACGTTTATCTCTTTATTTCTTTCACACATGCACACATACAAACTGTTTAAAAGTGAAAAAGTGTCTACATTCTGCATCAAATTAACTTATATACTCCGTATAAAATCGCTGATTTTTTCTTTGTGCATTCAGGTGAATACATACTTGTTCTCTCTAAACTTTAATTTCCTCATTAGCTTAGCTGTCAGAAATTATTATTGCTATAACAATTCAGAAATAATTTAGGCGTAAACTCAAATGCTCCACTGAAATCAAAAATGGATATAATCAAAGTCTATTAGGTAAATATATTTGATCTATGCACTCAAAAAAGCTTGATCTGACTTATATCTCAACTCTTCAACATTTTACATAGGTTAACACATAATCCAGACTACCCTATTTGTAGAATCAGAATATATACCTCGAAAGTTCATAGTTTAAGTCGTCTACGTGACTTCATCATTGTGTTTATACACAGTATCAGAAAACTATTCAACATACGCTGCTTTATATTTTTTTTTTCAAGATTTATGTTTAACAGGCAATCTAGATGAACATTTTAAATAATATCCTACTGAGTTGAAATCAGCCTGGAATAGATAAAAAAATCCAACTGACAACTTCGAAATGGGACGCAGTATGAAATTTCAGTCGATACTCACTTATAATGATAAAGCAGTCGGCATTATTTCATCCGAGTTTGAGTTTGAGTCAGAATAATTATACTCGTCATAAGACAGGTACCTATATCTGACGAGTACTAAAGAGGATCAAACATATGTCATGCATAATATTATCAACCAATGCCAAACATATATGAATAATTTCATTCGGTTCAGTTATGTTGAGTACATTGACATTATCATCTAAAATTTCAATAAATGAGGAGATGTGTTGAATAGAAATTTGGATGTTTACGTGAGTTCTATTCACACATAAAACAAATTTCACTTAGAAATGAACTGATTTTTTTCTCATCAGCGGTGTGCTATAGAATCTACTCATATTGATTGGTCAGTAGTATCTACCGTATAATTTAATTACTTACATTCTTGTTGCCAATTGTGGCATGACCAACCACACGAAATGTGACAACTCCAGGATGGATTAGGATATATGCGTTGATGAAGAGTTGCAATCTAGAATGAAAAAATGTCAGACTGCTCCTCCTCTAGCTATTATTAGTTTCTGCTGAGAACTTCTACATGTCATAGTCTTTAACTCTGATTACATTCTGTTTCAGTGTATCTGATTCAAAATGATGTGCCTTAAATGCCTAGTACAGAAAAGTGGTACTGTTTGCTCTGTAAAGTTTGCATTTGCTGTGCTTACAAAATGAACTGCCATTAAGAATTACTTAATCTATATACTGTTAATTCACATTAACTTTTAAAACTGTGATTTAGTGAGAAGACTATACAAAAATTATCTGAACAATTGAAAGAACGTGATGAATTAATTGGCCAACTGAAAGGAGAATTGCAAAGCAAAGAACAAGCACATACGCACGATTTATTTGCTTTAGGTGAACAGGTCACTTCTAAGCAAAGGTAAATATCTTTAGGAAAATAAATCCGTAATCTTTTGGATGATGTTTATTGATCAACTAGTTACATGATGAGCGATTTATTCTCTTTTTAACTTGTCTGCTTCCTGTTAGTAGTTGTCGATTCTCTATCTTCAAATGTAAATGCATCATCAGTCATTTCCAACTGAGAAGAGTTGTTTTTTAAAATTCTGGATTATCGGAAATACCTGTTTTGGATGTATTGTTGCAACATATTGAATGCCTAGATAAGGACTGACAGGAGCATAGAAGTAGATTTATCAACAAACGGACATCAGTTAAATGAATATCGACAGTCAAATAGAATTAAACAGCTACTCTACCTTAAGTTTAAGATATTTTAGCAGTACGCCCACATTACCTCAGCAGTTATCAGACTAAGGTGTATCAGACTAAAAGGCGAGTAGCTTACTGTTGGATCACTGAAATGGGATCCGATGATCCATTTGTCAGTTGACTCACAAATGCAGCATGTGAATGTAATTTCAGATATAAAAATACGTTATTACCGATTCTACTTTCTTCAGGTAGTAGTTTTCAGGTAATTTAATTCTGGCGACTAGATAGTAGAAATAATGAATGCGAACTGGTTGATTGTTCAGATTACGTGTAATAACACTGTGTTTTTATAGAAAGGCATACAATTTTACTGCACAAAGTATTTATGCATGTGCTTAATTATTTCACAACTAACTCCGTTGATTTAGACAGTCAGCTGTGTACATGTGCTACAGCTACATGCAGCTGTCCCTGTAACCACACAGATCCAGTCCTTTCTTCCTCCCAGGCATGTGAAGAGGAAATCGAAGTCTGCGTGACGGTCAGTCGCAAAATATCAACGACTTATACGCTTGAATTAGCATACAATGCACTTGTATTCATCGCCTCTCATCTTTCCGCCTTCTTTTCATTGGTGACAGTGTCTTCCAGAAAGTTTGTTTACTTATCCTGAACTTTGTAATCATCGCCAGCAACTTAAACTGGAGAAATATTGTCGAGAGTTTTTTAAAACAGTTGTTTTAATCAAATATTAAAGCAATAAACTTCTTAAACATATGTGAAATTGGGCAACATGCCTCATAAATCTAGGATTTCGGCTTTTCGCTATGTGTTGCATATCTGAGACACTTATACAACAAGCAAGGTAGTTACTCACTTTAAAAATGAAAAGCTTAGCAGATCTGTGAAATTCATTTGATAGATATCACCAGACGTTTTTAGCTAACTGTAGCAGACCAGTCAGCGTGAGGATAATGTCTGTAGCTGATGGAATTTCTGTCCAGCTTTATAGATCCAAGAAAATGAGGAGTGAGTGTGATACTTGTCGCGACCTATTCATAATTTCCGCTCATACATTAACTGCACGCTGTTTGCAGAAAGTAAAGAATGATTTTATGAGAAGATGTCTGGCTTCATGAAGAACTTCAAATGTTGAGAAGTTACATTACCAGCTTACTTTAATGCTGAAGTACGTGAGTTGGAACAATAGCAAATCACATTGGGAGTGTCTGAGAAATTCAGTGTCGGCAAACTGACACTTATGATTGTCCCTTATAATTTTGGTCAGATATCCAGCAGTCTCTGACCAACACTTCATTTAAGCATAAGTAGAGACAATGTTCTATTTATCAGCCATTAACTTTGACTTAACAATCGACAGACTGGTCGCTTTTGCTATAATTTAATATTGCAGAGGACTGATGGAAGATTATCGGTCGTTCTTGGAAAACTGTATGTTGGTAACGAATCACTGAATAGATCAACTAAAGCACTAGTTAGTGTATCCGAATCCGAGATACTTCTATGGGCTTGTAGTAAGTCACTGCTTATGTCAGTCAATAACAAAAGAAAACGAAGGGTTCAGTTTGACTAATAATCACGGTTTAATTTCTAAAGAATACATAAGCATATGGACAAAAAGCAAAGTGGTTGTAACTATCTGAATTTTATGAAATTGACGTATTATTTTGCTGTGAAGGTGTTTAGGGGAAAAAGACTTATCAGTTATTCAGAGTTTAGAGATGAGATAGGACAAAAATTAAAACAGACCAAGCTGTCAGTGACCTGCTGGAATGAAATCTGATTGCTTCTTCCCTCTTTAGCACAGTCCCTGGAAAATGTTTACTGACAATTTCTAAATTATATCAAAATAATTTTTTGATACCGCGTGTTTATGAATAATTTGAAGAATAAAGCCATTCTCTGAAGAAAACCACCTTGAAATCGAAAACGATACATATAAATCCTTCAGGATTTCATCATGAGCTGACATTAGTTAGAGAACCATTGGAAAACCTGGGAGTACTGGACAGCTGTTTCGTCCTAGTTTGGAACTCTTCAGCAGTACGCACCCATCAGGATTCGAACTCAGGACCACCCGGTAGGGTGTGAGGAGAAATACTCGCCGAAGACATTGGCTAGCGGTCGCGCTATGTCGTGAATTAGCAGAAGTTAGAATTCAAGGACCATTGGATCGGGTCCCAGTGGCTTAATGGTATACGAGCTCGCCTTGTAACCGGAAGGTCCTGGGTTCGAATCCCGGTGGGTGCGTACTGCTGAAGAGTCCCAAACTAGGCTGACGAAACAGCTGTCCAGTACTCCCAGGTTTTCCAATGGTTCTCTAACTAATGTCAGCTCATGATGAAATCCTGAAACCAATCAAATCCCTACAAACCAACACTTGAATAAATCCTTCAGTTTTAATAAAATATTTTCATTACTTTAGTTTTAAAAATTAAATTACAGTATATGTACTACTTGTTAACGTATTTATTTGTTGCATCACTACAGGGTAGCTTTACAGGAAAATATTGATTTAATTCGTACACAAAGAGAATTACGGGAGAAACAAATGTTGATTACTTCTTTAGAAGCTCGTATTAGAGAAGCAGAATCAAACTATGAAATTACAAAGACAACAAATCGTCAATTAGTCTCTGAAGTTGAACGTTTAAGTCGTGAATCAAGTCAATTAGAACAAAAATTGTTCCGTGTAGAATCAGACAGTAATGCTGCTTCAAAATTACAACTGAAAATATTAGAAGTAATCATATATTTTAATAGCTATTTGTCTTACCATTTGCTTAGTTTTCATGTGTATAGACTTATGAAAATCTTCCAGCTCCACAAAAATAACATTCAGAATTAAATGAAACCAGCTAATTATTTGTAATTAGTGAAAAGTAGTGTTTCATCAGAATTTAACGAAAACAGATACTCTTTCAATTATGTGTATTATTAATTTTACCATAGAACTTATTACATAGTTTAAATGTTGGGAGTATCTCGCCAAACTTTTGGAAACAAAGATTGTATTAGATTTTAATGCTCACATGATTGCAATTTCAAACTCTATGGGATTTTAAGAAAAGTAGGCATTTATTCAGTGGTTTGTCTTTAAAATATTATTACTTGATGAATTCCGCTATAATCAGTAAAATAGACAAGCAGTTTTATGAAACGTATCGTTATGAAACCTACTTTGTAATAAATTAAATTATCCGTAAACGGATCATATATATCTATGATTAATGAAGGCAGAGATCCATCGATTGATATGCCTGGCACACGTGTTACACATATCCACCTACAAAGTTCCTCAATGAGCGATTTCATATAAAGTAGGATTAAACTGGACAATAGTTGGGGATGGTAAGAACAAAATAATTGCGCTGACCCATAAAGTAGGAAGGTACAGACTACCTAGCTGGAGAACCCCTACGATTTTAAGAATTAATGCCTGGAAACTAATAGTGATTTGGATCTAAATCGTGATCTTCCAGATTTCAAAATGCTCACAAGTCTTGATCTACTCACATTTTCTCACTTAAATTTTCGTCTATCTTAGCTTCATTGTATTTTACTTCCTCTAATTATATGTATGCTTCGCCAGAGTGCGATAACTTGAACGAATTCATGCTGGGAAAAATCTCCATTATCATTAATCACTTATGCCTAAATAACTTATTTCAATTTCATTTTTTTCTTTTGTTTTATTCTTAGCTTCAATATGCCTATGATGATGCTAAGCGTGAAAATGAAGCGCTTAAAGAGTCAAATGAAAAACTTTTAACCAAGTAATTTGATTTTTGTATTTTAATCTATAATCCTTTAGTTATTACAAACACTTTTGTTATTATGATAGTTTATGATGAAGTCTTAATCTTATCTCTAAAAATAATCAAGTCTGCTGATAACATTAATTTATTTCCACCAGTAGACACAATAGGGTTAATGTTCAAATTACATATGTCAATAAATCATACTTCTCTGTTTCAAATATCAATTGATTTTTGATGAACCGCTCATTGGTCACTAGTGAATAGCTCTGAGATCAACTTCTTAAAGTTCTAATGCAAAGAAATAGTCGATAAGATCAGTTAGAAAACAGATAATTTCCCATCGTCAGTGTGTAGCTTAATCTCAAGAGATTGCAAACAAAAATCAGTGTTTGCTTCCTAATCAGTCACAAGAAAATGTAGATTTGATTCTACCAGTGACGACAATTTCACCCTGCTGAATTTCTTCACAGTTCCCAGTCATCCGCCACATAACTATAGTTCATATTGTTAATATCTCTGAAACTAATAGTACATGCAAAGTACAGTTTATTTCTGCTTCTAAGTAACAAATGTCAGAATACTTATTAACAGATAATCACTGAAATCAGAAGCAAAGTAAACAATGTATAGTGCATTCACCTAGAAAATCACTTAACATCTTAGCTAAAATATTTAAATCTTTTGAAAGGCAATGTATCATTTATTAATGTCGTTTAATTTAATGGCTCAGATTTCCTTCCACTAAGTCATTCGTATGTAAAATATCCCTTATAGACAAATATAAAGAATTTTTAGACCATAAAAAATCCATCAAACACAATATATTAGTCATTTGAGTTGAGTCGACAGGAAGCTTATTACTTATGATTTCTTCAGCAAGATGTGTTTGTGGTCTATGAAGCAAACTGGTGAAATCCGTATTTTTTTTAGCTTCAAAGTTAAATATTTGCTGCCAATATATTTTAGTCCCAACCAGCTTGTTATATGACTAGATTACTAACATGAACTGACTACTGGTTGATAACTAGTGTGTAAACAGTTAGTTTCGTCTTCAGATCAAATTAGAGATATGGATAAAAAGTGAAAAAACGTAACATTATTATCTGATGTTAGATTCTGTGAATCCGGAGTTGATGAGTGCGCCGACCAGTCGAATGCAATTAATAATTTGCGATGGAGATTTCTTGCGTCCGTGGTTCTGTGATAGAATACTCACCACTGACTCCTTACGTGGTTCAGGTTCGACTCCCGACCGACACACTCCTAAACTTCGTTTAGCTGGTAGCAAGTCCTATAAAGAGACAAGACTGAACTTGAGAATGACTACCGTATCCCATAAAAAATAAACTATCACTGATGAAACTTCGGAGCTGGAGCTTGAAGCCACGTTTTCCACTTTGAACGTAAAGGAATAAAAGATAATTGAAAAAATGGACATATTTCAAAGTGTGATTCCATCAAGATCTTGTTTTTACACCCTAAATACTCATTTCACAGCATGTGGACTTCCTGACACTGTTTGAGTGACTGACATAAGAAGCAAAGACTGCTTTTGTCTACAAGTAGCGCTTGTCAGCAAAACAGAGGTGATCTAAACACCCAGTGATCGTATCACATTATTCTGTTAGCGTTCAACGATAATTCTGTTTGGAAAGCTACTGTTTGATATCATCATGATTTTCTTTGTAAATCAATATAAGACTTAACTGTGGAATGGAGAATTTCTCTTATCAACAAATTATGAAATTGTAGAACAGTAATATTTACTTTTAACTTCTAAATTTTTATTTAGATGCCGAAAACTGTAAATTCACTTATAAGTTAACTATTTTAACTGTTGTAATTCTGTTACTTATTGTCTGTCCAATCAATAAGTGAACTAACCCACTAAGTAATTAACTTTCTCACACATACACATGCACACAAGTGCACATATTTTTCTGTGTTTTCCTTTGTGAGTATTGTCTATGTTTCAAACTGTTTTCATGTTGTATTTACACACTCAGTGTATCCTGAATCAGTGTCAATGTTCTATTAAGTGAAGTTCTGTGAAGGCTTTAACTTCCTACTTAGAATGGATATCCTCCATAAATTGTTTTCGATAAGTACTATGTAATTTGAAGACGTGTAAGTTAACCAAGAGTATACTTTTCCTAACTTCTTATCAAAGCTGTAAAGTTAAACTGTGTTCCGAAAGGTCATGGAGTGATTTAACCAATATATAATTTTGACTTATACAACAGTTTTTATGTCACCCATGTTCATTCGTTTTTCATTTTTCTATATTTTCAAACATCTAACTCCAAGATGTACTTTTTAATAATCGGAATCTCTTACTCTTATGTATAATATTCGTGCTTCCAACAGCTTATGTCTTTAATGATAATCATTTCTGGACATTGTGCATCACTTAGTGCTGTCAGATTACGCAACACTATTTACCTAGGTTTCTCAATTTATCAATTTTCTCTTCCTGATATAAAGTTTCATGTTTCAGTACCAAATGATGTGAATAGTTGACATTTGTAGACATTTCCATGACCTACCTTTGGGAAGTTAATTTAGCTGTACAGTTTTGATGAGAAGTTACCGGAAAAATATTCTTTAGAAAGCAGAATATTCTCTGCTGACCTATGTCTTTCTAGTTATAATGTATTTATTTTCACTTGTTGTGTACAAGTCAGATTAAAGGTATCTGAGGGTAATTTTTAAATCTCTGTAACTTAGAGAAATATGATTCAGCCTAATTTATGCAGCTGAGTAACTATCATTGATTAGTAGCAGGTAAACGTTGTTAGTGTAAAATAATAAACACTATCGGGCGAACGGTATTCATTTTACTTTGTTTCCTCTTAATCTTCCCCATAGGTACCAAGTTAAAAATTATGTACAATTCGCTAATATATTATCAAGTGTGAATAATTTGGCACAGTTAGGTGATACATAAATCACAAGGATTGCAAATTGTTCTCAAGAAAATAAATGTTAGTGTAAAATCGAAAAAGGCCAACGAAACAAAATGACTTTACATACTGACGATGAGGAAGTGTGAGTGGAGTTCAAGTTAGTGGAGAAATCTGATGAAAAAGAAGATAGCTAAGATATACATAACAGAGATGATATGATAAATAGATCAAGCAAAGGTAAAACCGTAAAAGGATGTACCAAGCACAAAGACTAAAATATAAGCAATTCAAATAAGTTAAAAAATTCTAAGAATAAGAATAATGTTTAAAAATGACGTAGAAAATGGTGAGATAAAAAAAGTAGAATAGTAAATAAAGCAGATAAGCAGAAAATTACCAAGGTGATGAGATGTGAACGATAAAGGTTTCTTTTACTTACAAGTTTGGCTTTATTGGATATGTTGCTCCCCTATTCTGTTATTACTTTGTCTGTTGATTACTTGAGAAACTGACCTTTATCAAGGTGCACTACTAGGTAGTCTTGCACATCTTCAGGGATTCTTTCAGCAAGAATTCTCCTCTTCCTTTCTGTGTATTATTACAAGTACAAGTAATTAGACAGTTATCATGAAAAGTAAAAATATTATACTGTTTGTTCTTCTTTATATCTCTTATTGTAACTTTACTCGTGATGCGAGGATAAGAAGTGTGGTGAAGTGGACTACAAAACAGTAATGCTGCCTATCAAGTGTATGATGTCTGGTCACTGCTTTGGTCCATTGAATTTTTTGGTGCACTATATCGTGGTTTCTTTTTTTCCATTTATCTATTTCTTTAGATTTCTCTGTACAGGGGAGTATTACTATTTACAAATAAATATCATGTTTACGGGGAAATAATTTGAAAATGACTGATCTTTCTCTTTCCTATATCAGTAAAACTGCATTGAATTGCAGACTGATTGCTCTCTCTTATTTTGACAATTTTCTATATAGTGCATTTGCTATAAAATCAGATCAGAATTGGACAATGAAAGAACAAAAGTTACGCGGGCAAATTGATCATTTAGAAATAATGGTACATAATTTACAACAACAGTTAAAAGAACAAGAGGAAATGAAACGAAAACAACAAAATTCATCTGATTTTCCTGTTGAAGAACAAATTCTATCCAGTAAGCAGCAATCCAATCAACTGCAAAGTGTTCCAATTCGACAAGACAATAAGTCGAATTCTTATGAACAACCTCCAGTAACTCATATGTTTGCCCAGGTAGTTATAGCCTCTACTTCTTTTTTATTAATGAGATAGCAATGTACAACTATGGAAACAACCCTGGATTTTAGTATCATTTTTGTCTTGTTATCCAAATGCTTTTATTGCTTATCAAGAAGGTTTTTCTTCCTCAAGTGATTATATGTCACCGAGTGAAATGTGGAACCACCATTCCTTTTAAAAGGTATTTGACATGTAATTTTATATCATATTTCGAAGCAGTTTCGAAAGCTACACAGTATTTGATCTACCTGAAATCTTGCAAGTCATGGTGACTGGAATCATATTAATCTACACAGTGTATCCTATTGATTTCCAAGGATAACATGAAATCAGTCACGTTAACCAGAAGTTTTCGCTAGTCAAAAAACAGGCAATCTAGTGATTATAAAAATTACTGTTCAACTGTCAAGTGCAACTGATTTGTGTCCATGTATATCTCGCAGAAGCGTGTATTGCGTGAAATCATAAGCACTTCATACTCATTTGAATATTGTAAAAACGTTTTAAATTTTTGTCATATAAGTCAACTGGCTAGTTTAATATCAATCACAAAATGTGCTTTAGTAATGGGGATGTGCAAAATAAGTTCACGTCTCTTCATCTTTCCTTTCAAAATGTTTGAAATCAAAAGACATCTCATCATAGTTAACTGAAAGGGTAATTCCACATATCTATCTTACACTGAATTCACGACTGTTATTTATCCCCGATACATTTCTATCGGACTGAAACTTGATGTTTCATGGTTTATAGCATGTACTAATTCTTTACGAGGCACATTTTTAATCTTGTGAGATGCAGTCTAGTTGTCTTCATTTATTAATTCATCCATTTTATCAATCAAAATATTTGCACATATGACTGTAAATTCTTCCAAATAATAAACTTAACTCTTATACAGATTACTGGATTCGATGTTGAAGAGTTAGAAGACGCAATCATGATCTTGAGAGAGCGTAAATCGAAATCACAATCAGTAAATGAAAATATGAATTTTGCTGAAAGTTATCCCTTAGAACAAAATAAAGGTGAGTTCAACTGTAAACAAAACTGTGTACTGTTTAACACTATACAGAAAAAAGATTGTGTTTTAATTAAAAGAATTGTTCAGTTCAATAGTAAAGATAGTGATAAGTGAAAAATTAAAGTTAAAACAATACTGCTGACATAGAACTAAATAGATACTTCGGTTAGTATACGACATCGAATGCTTACTCTAAGCCTATTATTGCAAGGATCTAAATATAGTAATGGTAAAATTTCTGGTTCGTGATACGGATTCGAGTCCCAGACGAATCATGAGTCTTCTCAGAGTTTGAGATAAGTATTTCGAATGAGTTCGAGTAAACTCAGAAGTTATACGGAACACAGAATCCTGTTAATTTAGTTTTTAATATTTTACTGCAAATTAAGAATAGTTTTGATATTAACAGTATGACTGAAAAGAATGATGATGACTTCAATATATTGTTTTATGTGGATATATAGGAAATGAACCTATAACAGACATGTAGTTGTACGAAACAAAAACTAACATAAATGACACATATAATTATGTCTCATTCCATATCTATAAGACGATATAAAAACTAACAACTGAAAACTGTCGAACAAGATGTGGATCTTGTGGCCCAGAAATCGTATACATGATGTTTCACCGCTTCAAACGATACACCTTGGATATAAGTCCCAATGGGAACAACAACATTCAGTGGGATGAAGATATATCCAGAAGACGGGTCTCAAACAGAAGGCATTATGCGTCATGGATCCTTTGGCTATCCAGTATCTGTGAACAGTTGGTAAGCTGAAATGAACGACATTATCTAATCATCTGTTCTAGGAACAAATATATAGACAGAAACTGATGATTTCTGCCTGTTAAAAACAAACGACGACTTTCAATAAATTCATAATTTATTTAGTGTCATTTTCAAGTTTAAGAAGGTGTATCATCATCAACAGTTACTGTTCAGAATAATTAACCAGACTGTTAGTTTCTCTTGTAAATGAGTGAAATACTAATACATTCAACAGAACAATGAAATACTATCAAAATATATTCATGAAATGTTAAATGACAATGGAAATTTCAAAAGTTGTTGTTGTTGTTTAAATTTTCTAATTGTAGATTCCTTGAAACAGCTGAGCGAAGCTGAAGCACTACACGCTGAAACAATTACTGAATTGGAGAAAACTCGCAAATTATTGAGCGTTCAATATAAGATAAATAAGGATTATCAAAGTGAAATAAAAGAATTGACTGAACGCCTAACAGATTTAAAAGCTGAGTCAGAACAACGTTTACATGAGTATGCTAAATTATTAGATATTCGTGCAGTTCGAATACAACAGTTAGAGAAACAAATTCGTGATTTAGCTTATGGGTCAAACAAACGCAAGGTAAGTACTTTAACACTGTGTTCAATACTTGTTCATGGTTAACACGTTTTCTAAGGCAACATCAGTAAGTAGGATAAAGTATAAGTATTGTAGACGAAAGGATGATCAAAGGACTTAAACAGTGATTCCCTCATATTGGGAAGTTATAGTTTCAATGGCACTGATGAAGACAAGGTTGCCTGCTATATTAACATATGATTGCCGAAAGGAGCAAGGGGTCCAGGTGTTACTAATGACCTTGAAAAGATATTTGTCTGGACACAGAAAAGAAACAAACTGAAAGAACAGGACAGTAAGGAATTTCTACATTAAAACCAAAATGGCAAGAGGGACGTTTATCTAGGATGTGTATTTGTATTAAGTTTATTACCTGTGACCAGTCTCCTAAATATTTTAATGTCTAATTATCGATCTATATAATAGCCCCAAAGGAAAGCTGTAACATGGTTTGAAGGGAACTGGTAGTTAGTGTTCATAGTGTAAACCGTGTTTAAAGTATGCTGATTAGTCACACTATGAGAAATAATGTATCTTTTAAGCTGTAAATGTTAACTAAAATCTATCTTTCACGCACATAATTTGTTCACGGCATGTCTGCACACTGTGGTGTACTATTATTTGATGTCAGCTGTCTGAAAAATCAATCTTCAGGAATCCATTTGATGCATAACTTAAGCTTATTGACAGTCGTCAGAATGGTGTGTCTGCGAATTCAAGAAGGTTCATTTCCCTCTTTCAGAGTGGAACTCACAAAATCTGGTACCACTCTGTTTGTAATTGACTTCCATGTGGTACTGGATTATGTAGGAAAATCGGCCATCAGATAACAGAGATTTTCGTCTGTCTAGTTGAGTATTAATTGAAACATGCGGACCAGATGTGGAATTATTCAGTAAGCTGAGTGAAAGGCCACTATTTTAATCTCTAAATGTGGATAAATCTTTGTGAGAAATCTAGGAACTTCTTTTGTATATGTTAGCATAGCTTATAGTTAGTGATGATCCATTCATTGTGTGAGATGAAAGAAGTTTCAATCATTCACCTTCACTTCAGATAACACCATTAATTTAAGCTTTGAAGCATAAAGATAACTGTTTAAGTTTGAGCAAGCATTCCCAGTCGGTAAAAATACCCGATAAAAAAAAATTTGGGGTAGTTTTAAACTTTATTTTGCAGTCTTTTAGAATTTTTTAAAAATTTGCAGTACCTGAGCTGTATTTCTAATGTTCAAAGTTAACCTTTGTTGTATTATTCTCTCTACAATCATTCTTAAGTATTCTTAAGTAAAGTGATATGATTTTAACTATAAACCTGGTGTCCCTCAATCTACTTAAAATAAAAACAGTTGTGCAGTATTTATTTGAATGATTGCTGAGTGATGAAACCAAGCATATTTATTAGAGTGGAATTAGGATGTAGTCGATAAGCGATTGGCCTTCACAGCTCAGTTAACGCGAAATGTAACCTATATTACATAAATCTGTGAACAGAACGCTTAGTTGTTAGTTGTCGCCCTAACGCTCCTTCAACTCTATATAAATAAGAAAAACTCAGTATTCCAGGAGAAAACACAACTCACTTGAGAATTTAATAAAAGTAAATAATATACTCAGTAATCTTTAACTCATTTTGCAATGCCTTCTTTGTAGTATTGACTGATAACTCTTTTGTTTTTCTGTTATATAAATGAACTTTATCTAAGTTATACTATTTTTCAAATTTAGGCTGTACCAGGTGATCACTTGTCAAGCGATATAATTTCAACGGATGATGCATTGAAACCTGGAGAAAGTCTAATTGAGGTATGTGTGCATCAAGAGCAGGAAGATTTAAATGAAAGAAATCCTTTTGCATTTTCAATCTATAAGTGTTGATTAAATATTTTTTTATTTGGTAAGAAATCATTTGCAGTAGATAAATTATTATTGCTGTGTTCCATTCAACACATGATCTATGAATAAGTGCAACCCCATTCAGTTTTATTACTCTGCTCACTGAACGCAAGCATATAAAAAATTCCACATAAGCTATAAATCATCTTCGCCACTTCAAATTTTTATCAATGGAATACGCTTGTCTCTGTGCGAAAGTGGCAGGACTTTGTTAAAATAGGTGTCCACTTCAGAGAAACTGTTTTTTTCTTCACAAAACTCTTCGTTATGAAATTCTACTGACTAGTATCAGATACAAAACACTGATCAAACATCATTTTGGATGAAAATTTTTGTACAGTGCGAAAAACAAATGGTGAAACTTATGAGGACTCACGCACACTATTAGACTTGACATTCGAACATGTTTTCAAGTTGCTAGAACGAAGTGTTAGCCCCGAAACACCTATCAACACTTAACACATCCATCAAAATGTTAAATAAGCATCACATAGAATGAGGACGAGACATCCTCAAAAAAGGGCTAACCAGCATTGCTAAACAAAAAAACGATAGGGCTAATACTTCATAATGACAAATGACTTCCTGAACACAGCTAGTGCAGTGTTCAAGCTGGAGGAAGCCCATAGATTTTATTTTTTCTTATTTTTAAGACATCAATAGATCTGTGCCTTATAACATATTTTTTCGAATCGCTGACATGATAATATGCGAACAGATACAAATAACATCAGTTGGATTACCCATATCGGGACTAATAGCTGAAGCTGCTTTGCAAAGACCGAGTATTCAATTACGACAGTAATAATCTAAGAGCACACGAAATAAATTAGGTATGAACATTATTCAAAAGAGCTAAAACACATTTCAGCACTCCGTTCCTGAGCAGAATAGTAAATAAATATTTATTAATTGTCTTCAAGAAGAATGGATCCCTGTACAGCTTCATCAAAAAATGCCTTAAAGTCAAGTCAAATTACCGGCCAGGAATCATCCCCAGAAACCACAAGCAAATTCACGATAAAATATATGAAGAATACTTCTAAAACAGCGGCTAGAAAACTAAAACCATTTGTGATAAATATCGCGCATAAACCAACACAATCACTTCATTGAATACTATACAAATCGAAAACCTAACAGTAGAAAAAAATAAGAAATGCATGTTTTGTGAAAAACACTATACAGGTCAAAGTGCCCCCTTCAACGTCGAATTCAAGAATATAAACTAGACGTTAATGAACACAACATATATTCCATGACACCAGCCCCTATAGACAACTAGGGACACTAAGTGGGCTGAGAAAATATATAAATTTTAAGAAGCGCAAGTACTAAAAGTATCAGATATTTTCCAAAAGCCTGGTATTCATACCAGTTTCCACTGCTTCAGCCAACCAAGAACAGGTCCCATTACAAAAAGGCCGAATTCCAGGTAATGAGACTATTGACACCAATAAAAATTAATATAAGGGTAAAAACATCTGAAGACAATCAGTTATGCCAAATGTAATCAAGAGAGATAGTTATATCTTCTGTAGGCAGTTCCGAAAAACCTCATCACATTGAAATAATCGCTGATAATTTTGCCTAGAAGGAAAGAAAGAAAGCTTGGCGACTCAACTCCGACAACATAGCTGCATAAAATTTAGCCACCTAAACTGCTAATCTTCCGCATTATTTCAAACAGTTTACCATAATAAAAACAACTTGGTAAGATTTCAGAGAACTTCTAGGCTTTTGTCATGTGCTGAAACTGCAGCATAAGCAATATACTGTTTAACATACAGCTCTAGCTAAAGGAGGTCGATCAGTTGATAAAGTAGGAAGCTTCCATAGACTATGGTGACTCAAGCATATACACTCATTGTCTTCACCAGCTAATTGTGATAGCTGGTGCAAAAGCAAACGAATTTTGAGGTGATTAACACATAGTGGGATATCAACCATTGGTTTCATTCCTATGAAGGAAGTAAAGGTTATTAGGATAGATTCAAAGAATGTCTGCATAATTTATCTGAAACTGCTTATATTTAGTTGGTTTAGGGGAAAACTATTCACACCACATTCCTCTTTTGAATGAAACATTACATTTAACTCTACTAGTTCTTCAGTTATCAGGTAAAATTCTAGTAAATTTGGTTAACTTTATAAAACATGAGATTTAGCCGTTATTAGGAAACATCTATGTCAATAATAAATGCTTCTGTTTCATAGGAAATCAAAAACAAGAAATTATACTGTGTAGTTTAAAAAAAAATGCATTTTACATTCTAGCTGTTACTGTTACAAAAACTCGTTCCCTCCCTAGGCTTCTCAAATGATCCAAAGCAGTTTGCTTACAAACAGGGTAGAAGTACTTTGGATGCTGCTGCTGTGTTTCATCACAACATTGTATCCTCCTCAGACAAAGGGGCCAAGTATGTCCGTTGTACTTTCCTTGATTACATATCTGCTTTTGACTCTGTACCTAGAGGCCTTTTGTTAAACAAGCTTAGCCTAATCAAAAATTCAATTCAATAATTAATATGACCCGTCGCACAAGAGGTGGCTCTCGTGGCCCAAGTGGTCTAGTGGATAACGCTTTGGCGTTTGAAACTATGGGCACTGGGTTCGAGCCTCGGTGGGAACATCATCACTCACTGAGAAATGCAGGTACATCCAGTGACGAGTCCCAAATAGGACGAAATGCGCATCCTGGATTCCACTGCTAGTCACCATCCACCAGTTGTATACTAAGCTTAGCCTCACAGAAACTGAGTCCTGGGCTATCAACTGGCTGCACTCTTACTTCTCCAATAGGATGCAGTACACGGTATATAATGGTGTAGCTTCCTCTCCTTTGCTTACTGAAGCTGGTGTTCCTCAGGGTGCTGTTCTCTCGCCGTTTCTCTTTTCCTTCTTCTTACATGACTTACCTCTCTCAGACGAAATCAACTTCGTCAAATATGCAGATGACCTGACTGTTTCGCTTCCCGTTAAGTCTCAGTCAGACTGCTTCAAATTAAATAGCTTCCTGTCGGACATCAGTCAGTGGTCTAAACTAAATGGCCTCATGCTGAATCCCTCAAAATGCCAGACTGTCGACTTCTCCTTTAGGCATAAACGAGATCTACAAACACTAGTAAGCACTCATGATGCCAGTAGAATTGAGGGGACTATAATTGAAACAAAGTCTAATGCAAAATACCTCGGATTAGTTATATCTTCCGACCTTACTTGGTCATCTCATATCCAAATGATTTCCAAGAAAGTGTTTCGTCTAACCTACTACATTAAGAAACTCAGACTAACTGGAGTCCCTCAACCTCTGCTTTCACAATTTGTCAACTCTCGTATCCTACCTATTCTACTTTACTGCTCCCCGTTAGTCTTTCCTGGGTTACTGAAAAAGGATTATACCATCCTGAGAAGGATGTTGAAGGTAGTTAGTAGGACTAGCGGTGTAAAACTCAGTCAGCTCGTCACTACATTAGTGGATAAGCATCTGAATACATGCGAGAAATGGTCTAAAACCATACTCTCTGACCCCCAACACCCCCTCTATTCCCAACTCTCTCCTTGCATCTCATCAGGTAGAACCAGAAATCAGTACAAAATAATATATGCTCGTACAACCAAGTATAGGAACTCAACGATACCATATTTGGCCCGTGTTCTAAGTGACAGAGACAATGTTAAGCGTGAAACCTATGACTTGCTTTGTTGTTAATAACATAATTTTGGCCCTTGTTATTTCCCCCTTATACTCTCTTATTTGTACTCTATAGTGAACAACCTTCTTAAACATACTTAGCTACTTAATATTATTATCATTGGCTTACTTTTTTTGTACTTTACTGTATTCCTTCTTTTGTATATCTACTGGGTCCGACTATATTATCACTATGATTATTACAAAATTGTCCTGTCATTAACCATCATGTAATATTAGTTTTGTGGTTGTTCTTTGTTCGGCACTATTTAACTGACAATCTTGTTTGTGAACGCCACTATCACCATCTTAAAAATTTTGTATTATGCAGGTTTACTCACACTACCACAAACAAACACTGCATTAGTGCTGACAATAAAAAAAAAAAACCCTGAAATGTTTATTTTATGATTGTTTAGTGTTGTTCAATCAAATTAACTGATCATCTTGGCTATAAACATTCTTAAGAACATTTCATAACTTCTTGTATGATTATAGCTGTTACTGTTCACCACCCATACACATATCATAGCTTCCACTACCCAATACTGAAATATTTTTTTTCATTATCGGTGTTTATCTTCCTTTCTACTTGGTATTTTATTTGCATTTTTTTGTTGTTATTTCTGTGTTTCTTTTTTGGTTTTTTTGTTGTGTTTTTTTATATTTATTTTTTTTGTAATACCCCTTTTAAATGTACGATAAAATTAGATGCAATATTGTAGATATGCGCTGAAAATTCCACACTGTACCACAAGTACTGTTTCTGGAATAAAAGCGAAATTGTTAAAAAAAAAAGTTAGCTATTATCAAAAACCACCACTAAATTAAAAACTACAGTAAATTAGTCAACAAAGGAGGTACTTTTCGTAGAAGTTCAGGTCTCATAACGTCTTCCTGTCGTTTGCTTCCAATCACCTAATAACAATTTCCTAGCTTATTTAAGAGATCTGCCTAAACAATATTGCATTAAATACCTTTAGAATTCGACTTAATTACATTATTCTGCAACTACTAGGTTAACTATCTAGCTGTCGATTGTTCATTTTATTGCTTTGAATTCAAAATTATTGTCAAAATGAATGAAGCAACAGACAGCATTTCACACAGAGTTACAACTGACTTAGGAGATTGTAATTTTCTGAATATATATTTTAAAAATTTAAGGCAATATTAATGACTGAATACATCTAATAGCTTAGATTAAAACCCAAAACATTTTTATTTCTAATAATACAACTGTTGATTTTAATCATCCCAGGTATTCCCGTGCAAGGTTCAGGTTAATACGCAAGAAATTTCTGTGTTTCTTCTTCATGAATTACAAAATTCGCTACACTCTTCATGTCAACGATGAATCTGCATATATTACACTGATTTTTGACACCAAGTTTGGCACACAACAATTCAATGGTTTGTTCTGCTTATAACAATCGGACTATGTTGCATAAATTGTAACGTCTATTGTAAAGGCAACAATAATTTTTGTGAAACTGGAGAAGTTTCTGTAAAAGAAAAGTAGGGCAGGGGTGTAATTCTGCAGAGAAATGATTAGGCAACCTAATGTTTCTATTAGAAACAAACAGTGCCTAAAAATGTCTATTGTCATGGTATTTTTCTTTACTCGATTCAAAATCGCCATATAGCATATAATAAACAGTTATTCTGAGAAAAATTCATAAATTTGGTCATGTCATTTGATGAAAAATTTGTGCGTCAACTCATTTACGTCTGTACAGAATGCATCAATGAACTACATTGCATCTTTAGTGGGAAAGTGCAGTTTGTACAATTTTCTGATGACGCAGATCTACGAACAATTAACACTTTCTAATAATAATTAGAAGAAGAAGAATGCAACTCGCACATTTTTATTTAGGTTAAAATAAAGATATTAATGACAAAATTTGGGAAACAGATTAAAAGCTTTTACTAAGAAATAAGGTCATTCACAAAGACTGAACTAAACGAAAATGAAGAAAAATGCAAAATTAATTCCATGGGTGATAGAAAACTGGAGAAAGAATGGATTTATAACGGTTACCCCTGGCAACTGAACTGTTTTGATTTGAACAATGTTTATTAATAAAAATGTAAATTTGGAGGAATAACGAAAGCAACAAGTTATGGAATATTTTATATGAGAGACATAAATTTTCCTTAAATTACATCGAGTTAGTGTGAAAACTGGAGACAAATAAAATGATGTGACATGATTCTTTGATACTGGCCATCATTAATCAGAGAACAATTAGAAATCAAAACGGTTGCTTCTTAGTTCAAAGCTTTACAGCATTATAACCAAAAACCTTGGAATTTCTAGACAAGCATGGTTATAACCCCGACAAAAAGGAGAGGTTGGGCTGAGGCTAGCAACCCCACTGCCATTGAAACTTCAAAGCGAAAGCTTGAAGCCCTATATTCCACTGGGAACGCAAAGCAATAATAGAAACGTTACTGCGATGTTAAAGAAATGTATTCCAAATTTTCATGCCTCCAGCTTCTGCTAATAATGTTTATTAATATGAAAGTGCTTTGCGCATATATTTAATCGTAAGCAAAGAAAATAATTCAATTTAACTACTATTAAATTTTAGATAGGATCGACTACACCATTGCTTAGTTCAAGAACAGCACAGGTCGTGTGATATTTTTCAAAACTCCTCACATACATTTCAATTAATAGAAAAGAATCGTTCTTGAAATCTGAGTGTGTAGCGCACAAGCATTTCTCACTTAATTAAGAAGACTGTCTTCGGATTGAATTATTTACGCAATATGTTTCATTCAAATTCAAAAGAAAAAACTTCATTCACCAGTAACAGTTTGCTGTTGGAGCTTACGTCTGTATTCATCTGACTAGCTAATAAAAATGGGGAGATTGCTAAATAATTAATTATAATACAAATACCTTTCTTGTATCCATGTCAAAAGCAAATAAATTAGGTCAGTTGACAAACACATCTCTATCTTACCCTATACAATGAAGAGAAATTACACCTGAAATAATCTTATAAGTATAAACGGTTCAGCAATAAGGAATACAAAAACTTTCACTGGGAAGGCATTTAGCACAGCTGATGTGAAAAATGCAATAATTTGATTACAGTATAATTTAAAGAAATCACTTGAATTTAATGAGCTAAGGCCTGATCTGTATAACTACAACTAAGCTACTGGTTAATTTTTGAAACAATGGACTATAAGCACTTTTGGAAATAATTACCAAGGGAATAAACAGAAGGTGAACAAAGTTCATTACTGACAGTAGACAGAATCATCACTAATATTCAATGCAGAATGTGAATCTAGTTCATTAATTTTCAATGTCTAGCCTGACGTTTGGTTGTTACATAACCAGAGTAACATCCTGAGTGTTGGTTGACATCAGTTGATCCCAGTTATTGATTATAGAGCTCCCAACAAGGAAAACTGCATACAACTTTATCAAACACATTTAAAATCTATCATTTCAGCACTTTTGAATAGCATCACAAGTTTTCAATTTTTTCCAAAGTAAATTGCGTCTGTATTAAATATACCAGTTCTGTAAACAAATTCTTCTTCAGGATCTGACTACTTTTCATTTGAGATCGTTTAGTTTTGAAATCGATGATATCTGGTATACCTTTTTATTAGTTATATGAATATCTAGAGAAAGCATGTATTCTCCCTCACGTTCCCCAGTGGAACATAGGGCTCCTAGATAGACGCTTGAAGTTTCTTTAGCAGCGCTTATTTTACAGGATGGGGTTGCTAGCCTCATGCTCAACCTTTCCTCTTTACCAGAATTATTTCTGGCTTAGAGAGGTAAAGGAGTGCGTCGGCCAGGGATCGAACTCTGGACCAAGTGCAAGGTCGGCGAGCGTCCTAACCGCTATGCCACCGACGCTAGTAAATGCATGTACGTTGAGCTTAATATGTTGATGACTTTCTTTGAAGCTGAAAATTACTATTATTCATTCGGTGTTATCTGAAAGAAGCCTTAGGCTTCATCGGCACGTCTCCACTCACTCGGTCCTCCTCCATCATTTTCAACTATTTCCACAACTACTAACAAGCTTTCCTTTCATAATCACCTAAGCTTCGCCATGTTGCCCTGGAACTCTCACTCCGTCCCTTCCTATTTAAGTCGATGATGGATATTAAACGGAGAAAATACGTTTCATCATTATGCTCAGCTCACTGTACTTAATCATCCAGAAATGGAGACATGTATTTTTCCTAGTGTATAATTATTATTAACTGAGCTGATTTATTATTATAAATTCTGAAATGCTACTCATTTCTTTTAGTCAGTTTAAACAAAGCTATCGTTCATCCGTTCTTTCTTTCTTAACATCCTCTTTTTTAAATATCTTCTCAAAATAGTTACACATTGGTCGATTATATTTGTTCTCTTCTGTGCTACAAAAATTGCAAATTGATCACAGCTTAGCTGAACAGTCAATACGATTATTTTTAACTTGGGATTTTTATGATTTTGAAACTCAAGCAACTCCAATTATTATTGGTGATTCAGTTGATTTGAATATAACTATACAATATCCTGTAGAAGTGAATGATACGCTGATGAATTATCTTCTGAAGGTTAGATTTAACTTATGTGATAAATTCTTTTACTTTGATAAAGTTTAATTAAACAGTTTTATTCAGTTTGCTTAAATTTATGTGTCATTGTTTTCAGTTGGTGTTTTTCAGTCTATCAAATTTAGGATAACGTCTAAAAACATGTCTGTATCACTTTCACTTCTCAATTATAATCGTAAATTAAAAATATGTATGAACTACTCTATATATTTTGGCAGTGTAATCATCTTTGAGTGCATTGGTAGACGAGGAAGACTCAGCTTGGATATCAAAGGCTAATTTTAGCATTTGCCAATTTGTATTATAGCTGACAGACAGATGAGACATTTAACTAAAAGTATTGCTTAGAGTATCACTCAGTAAACTGTGTACCTGAGTGATACACTCAATAAACGCAGCAGAACCGAATAGATAACGGAATTTTTGATAATATATGCCCATGAAAATTTGTTTTCATCTGATAAAATCACAGATTTACTAATCACTATCAGATTAAAATCCTAAATAAACAAAGTGGAATAATTTATGAGCTGGTGTATCGTTATTAAATAAAGATGAGTGGAGAAATGTTGCATATGACTAGTTATTACCTTCCTAAAAGTGGAATTTTACTAACTCTACGTTAAAAAATCTTGAAGACATCTCAACAACAAAGAGGACTGGAAGTCTTTTTGATCATTTATTGACTAAATGTAGGAAGGTGTAGGTTGCCAGGATGAAATCTTCAGGGTGCTGAGAATTTTGTTGTTAAATACTCTTAATGATATGGTTGTTAATCATCCCAAAGCTGTTGAAATGCATGCTGATAACCTTATGTGTTCGAATGAATCAGTAACATTCCTTATTCAGTGAAACACCAAACCACACAATGATATTACATTACTAGTTGGATATTGTTTCAATTACAATTTACTTATCATAATCGGATCACATAGTCTAAGAGACGAATATACGGTTAGATGCGAGAAATTAAAGTTAAGCGAATCAGAGCCTAACACTTGGTATACGAGTGTTTCAACAATGACACTGGGTATAAATATGTATATATATCTAGTATTGTCTACTGGATTTCTGAGCCAGGAATGTCTCTGCTGGGAGCAGATATGTTCGTCGGTGGCACAGTGGTGAGGACTCTCGCCGACCATGCACATGGTTCGATCCCCTGCCGACGCACACCTGATGCCTATGATCGGCCTGCAAAATTTAGGCTACCGATATCCATGCTGGAAATTCCATACTTGTACCAAAAATACAGTGTGGAATCAAGCTGTAATCAATATATATATATATATATATATTGAGCATTTCCGTTCGATGAAGTCAAAAAGCTGAATGTTCGAAAGGCTCAACGAGTAGCTAACGCATAAATTCCAAGAGAGTCAAATGCTAGTGAATTTTTTCATTTCAGTATGATAAGAGGAATTTGTCTATTTTATGGATGAATAATAAGAGACAATTTAAATGAAACATATTCGGTACCAAGGAACGCAAAATGAGAACTAGGTACCATTACACCCAAAATAACAGTTAAATTTTTAATAAAAGCAGTCAGTGCAATTAATGTCAATAGGGAATCTCCTTTATCTTTCAATGTGTCCACATTTTACTTCTATGCACAGAAATATAATGATATTCAGATTGATTTTACAAGATTGTGAACTGATAGTTGAAACTGACAAGTCCTATGATGTAGGTCTGTTAACACACGAAGAAAACCAATGCAGTATGTCAAAAATCTAGACTAAACTAGTACATTTTTATATTTTGTCTACTAATATTGTAAGAAACTCATTTCATTATATGCCTTCTTCTTCTAGGAACCGTGTACTTTAGAAATGCATCAAGTAACAAATTCTACTTATCGTACTATTGCCGTCGGAAAATTAGACTTTTCTCAGTTGTTTACTTCAAAAGGTATGTATTATTAATATTATCAGTCTAGTAGTAATTAGCAGTGGAATATTCGAAAGTATATATTGTCCTATTATGAAGCCTTCATCTGAATGAATTCACCATATCTTAATCAATATTAGTATACCCACTGCGACTCGAATCAAGCACATGTTTTCTTAAACGTCACAGCTTAATCCACTAAGTGAAGATAGTCAGTTGTTAAACAGCAGACATTATCCGTTATCTTTTGTTTTCAAATTCGACCCAACTTTAAAGCGAATGAAGGGGGCTAATTCAATAGACATCCCTCAAAATACTCAAACCGACCAGCATACAACATCATCTTAACTGTGTGGAGTAATCCATAATAGTTCAAATCAATGCAGTGATGAAGAGTAAAAACAAGTCAGATCACTGATCACTCACCAGCCACGAAGATATGTATTCATTGAATAAAAATACGCTATTTAATCCGAAATATTTTATTTAAATGTCCTTGAAAGAATACAGATTTGCATTTCCATGAAACAGTAGTGTTGAAGATGACTGGCAGATTGGTAGTGAGAACTCTGTTAAGTGTTTGAAGTTGAGGAACATAAGCCACCCAGGTATTTAACAGATAACTAGCTCATTACATATAAAAAGTGAGAGTTTTAGGAATAAAAACCAATAATTATTTTATTGGCGAATTCACAAGAGTGATTCTGATCAACCTTTTACTTTAAAACACTCACATGACTATTTTCCTACTGTAATTGAGGTCTGTCTAATATTATTACATTTCTATTTATGTTAGATGAAGGCTTAGAAACCTATGGACAAGGTGCTGTCATCCGTCGACAAGGTCAACTGGACCTCTTCCTTATTCCTACCGTTGACATTCATTATGATACACAAGACGATGGAAAAGACAGAATTCAGATGAAGCTGGGCACTTTAGACTACTGGATCCGGTTGTGTGCTCCAATGCAAGATTCTCTCAAGTAAAATTAATTGTTCTTAAGTGAAACTATATCTTTAGGTTGATTCGTTCTCTGAAATAAGGTTCTAGTTAGTAATATCTACAAATTCAAGTCAAATTTTATGAGTGCTATACGGTGAAGTAGAGTAAACAGACTTTGTATGATTATTTATAACACGCAGATTTGCTTAATTTCACAGACTGTTCATTTATTGGATACGTAGGTAAGTGTTAAATTCTATTGGTTGGTGAAGATTTGCATTGAACTTCTCGAGACTCCTTGCAGCTGTGATTGGTCAATTTCTCTTATGATTAGTTTAGTTTTCCGGTCTTAACGAATTTGTGAAGATTACAGCAGTCTCACGGGTTAGTCTGAAATAGCTGGTGGCGAAAACAGAACTTATCTTGAACTAAATGATTAACAGTTTCCCAATATGTATGTGTTATTTTGAGAAATGAGGAATGGTGTGACGGTCATGAGTTTGCATGACCTAGCCTCTTAAAATAAGTTTGAATGACAACAGAATTAAAATTAACAGATTCGGGACTACTAGTCTGATTGTCTCTCTAACTGAACTCTGCCAACCAACTATTAATCAAATTTCATTTTCTTTCCGAGTATTCCGAATTTCAGCTGGCTAGTATGTGAGTAACAGAAGAGACAATCGTCCAGTCTTTATCATTTTCATTTCTTATTCAAAGTTTATTATTGGAACAAAGATTTACTGCAGTGAAAAAATCTCTTTTCTTGGGCTATTTGTTGGAAATGAATTTAATGTGATTAACTTTGCGATAAAGTCTTATGCTACAGCATTGGGTGATTAAAGTTAAAACTCCTGAGGCTGGCAGTACAAGTGGCTAACAAATGTCAATGAAGCTTGATCCCACCTATGTGAGCATCAGCTTCCTACTGTCAAAATATATCCATAACAGTTGGTTTAGCGAGCTGAGAGTGATTCCAATGTAGAAAATAACTAAAAACTAAGGAGCAATTAACGCTTGCTTCATCCCATTATAACAGTCCCAATCTACGATCCTATCACAGACAACAACCAAGACATTATGGGTGCATGACAAGTGTGTCATTATACGGTGACTATGTTCGAATCCAGTGGTCCATAAGTTCTGACTCTTTTCATTTCGTAGATGTAACACCATCCCATCAAATCTCATCACATGAAAATTAGGGGAAATTTATCTCAAAGCCAGTCAATAGTGAGCAGTAAGCAAATAGTCCGATTATGAATACTAGAAAAATGCATTGCGAAGCCAGAAGTGATGAGCTAAAGAATACCAGATGGCTTTTACTGAAGTCTCGGGCTAGGACATTGTGGCTACCTAGTGCTCCCTTGTTTTTGAAGGGACCCTAACTTATCTCAATTAGTGATGGAATCTTCCTTGGAACGAATTACTTATTATTACCATAGATACTTTGAGTAGTTTGTTTTATCAGTGACTATAGTGTTTCTTCAGAAAGAACGCTTTATCTAAACATATCGTGCTCAGCCATATACTCTTTCGGTATTTAATTGATAGCCGGTGGTAGTACAATCCAGGACTAATGTTTCACTTCAATATGAGACTAGTAAGTGTGCAATAAGGATCTTGACATAGATCGATCAAAATACCAAGGCGCTTTTTGCTATGTAACTAAACCATGAGCGTCCGTACTAGGATCTGATATGATGACAGAGCTCAAGTATTCAGATCTAATGAAAGTGGACAACGAAAAACTTACAGTGCCTTAATTCGTCCACTACATCTACCTATTCTATACACCTATCTATATCAAATATATTATACGAACATTTCTGTATGCTTCTTAATCTGCTTTTCATTACTCGGCTTCTTCATATGATAATTAAAATAGTTTTGTTGTCATAATTCTATTCCATTGCTTAAATGTATTTATGTAATAAGGGTTTCTAAATATCATAAATTTACTAGTGTGCAGTTTGATAACAAATTCTTTCGGGAAACTTTCGTTTGCTATGCCCCGTTTGCCTGCTATCAAGATAATACAGTAGCTGATTAATGGGCTTTAACTAAACGGCTGTGTGATTACATGTCTACTATGAAATCTATCGGTTGTGGACTTGATTTCACATGAACTGCATATGCTTTCATTCTGCTTAAAAGTTTCATACTAGTGAGCAATCATGCTCTAGTATGATTTATTTGTCCTGAATTTTTTTGTGAGTCATATCTAAAGAAAATTTAATTTCGGCATTCAATAACTCTTGTCTAATTCCTTGTATTACACGGTTTTTTCCATCTATTCAATTTTAGGCTTTATAAGGAGAGATTTCGACAGCTGCCTGGATCCAGTACACTCAGCAAGTCTACTGTTCATGATACACTGTCAGGAACTACTTCCTTAAATAACACTCTGACTATTGAAATTATAAAAATTACAAATCTGGTTTATAAACAACAAAATGGTCTTCTACAACCATCATTATATTTTGTCTATCAGTTCTATGATGAGCCAGAATACGACTCACCAATTATCAAGCAGAATATTTCACCTGTATTTAACGATTGTCATAGAATAGAAATAAAAATGAATGATCAACTTGACAGGTAACTGTTCCATGAAAGTGTTACTTTCGTTTCGCAGTCAGTTTTTATCTTATGTTGTTACTTCACTTCATTTTAGTAAACAACTGAGTGGAATCATGCCTCACAACTTCAGGGACGAGGTACATGTAGATGGTATGGAGTGCTCGTTGATGTGGATTCCTTGAAATTTGCCTTCAGCTAGTGGACACATCTATAACTTATTCTTTCCGCAAATTTGATGGATGCAGTTAAATCAACTTATGGTAACAGAACTGTAATGATAATGGGGTGATCAGAAAAACTTACATCTTTTGATGGAACGAAATTAGCGATGTCATTCCACTCGAATGTGGAGAGAAACAATTTTGTAATTGCTGGTAGCTTGTATCATGAAGTGTTCAAATACAGTAGGTATGATACTAACTGTAATGATTAAGGTAGTATACAGGATTTGTGAGGCACAGGTTGTAGACAGTCGTAAAAATTGTGGGAAATGGTAACAGTTGGGTTCGTGCTCCCCCAGTACATTTATCGTTCCTGCTTTTTTCACGTAACAAGTTCCTGAGACTTTACTTTTATTTTTCCAAATTTCATAAAACTGGATTTAATTTATTAAAGATACGCCTTCGAATATAAATATGAATTTGATGGCACACTTTACCGACAAGTGGACGGGATGGCAATGGGCTCCCCCTCTGGTCAAGTTATTTGGCCGTTGCTCTCGGAACTTGATTTTTTGTGCTCTACATTTACATATATGCTTAAATAAGGGTGCATCAATAGATCCATATAGAACACCTGGTCCAAACCGGCCACCAAGTCAATATTGAAGAGTGCTTCTCCATCATCTATCAGGTGCTAAACAAACTGCCAAAAATGTTCAATAGTCAACAGTGGATTTAATTCAAAATTTAAATGACAAGATCAGAGGACGATACAATCAAAATTATCAACCATTTTAGTTATATAAAATAATGAATTAGATGTTTCCGTACAGTCATCAACAGCTATCTTAGTTCCATACTCAAAATCGGATGGCCTACCAGAAAGGATTAGGGACATGAAACTCTGGGAACAAACCAATCGAGAACCTGTTTGCTAATCCAACAAAAAGACAGAAGAAAATGAAGATGGACTGAACATGTGCTGATGAGACCACTGAGTAACATCGCGTGCCAGGCAGATCTTCTAGGGAACCCGAATGGGTAGTGACGAGATGGATGTACTGTGGTTACTTGGGGAAGATCATGTGGGGAAGAGGTGAGAGCCTATTGACAATGGTGAAGGAAGCTAAAGACGACTTTGGAAAACAGGATGATTTGGAGATGTGGTGTTGAAGCCCTATGTTCCACCTGGAACCTGAGGGAATAATGACATTAATAATAAAGGAATACAACATTTTACTGAATACAACTAAAAAAGGTTAATAAAAGTAAGAAAAAACTCATCATCACAGATGACGCACTGTAGTTAACTGTGACCAGTCCAGTCGTTTAGGACAATTATCAACTGATGGTTGTAAATTGTTGTAAATTAGTGGGTAGGTGTTCGGTAACAAGAAGTATCGGCCTTTGATCGTGTTGCTGAAAAATTGCTTGTCACTCCTGAAGTCATGAGTTCTCACAGATGCGAACAGGATAGCTGATCACTGCTCTTTCGTTTTTATTCATCTTCTTGTTGAATGAGTATAAAATAGTTAGAAATGAATTTTTAATGTTCACAATGTGAAGTCAGTTTTAAAAGTTTATATAATCGAATATCAAAAATCAGTTTACAAAATATATTATTTTACGTAGTCATTTATTACTACACCCATTTTAAGAATAATGTGATCATTGTCATAAATAAACACTTTTGTCGTCTTAGTAACAACTGCCACTCACTATTTTCACATTGGCCAATTTAGACAGTGGTCATCACATCACACTACGCTAACATTCAGAATTCAGAAGTAACTCACTCTAACATAATATCAACTGATGGTTGTAAATTGTTGTAAATTAGTGGGTAGGTGTTCGGTAACAAGAAGTATCGGCCTTTGATCTAACATAATATTTAACTACTTCAGCTCGACTGAATGGCTTACTAGTTGTACTTAAAAACTTCTCTTTAATTCAGACAGTTGGTCACATTTGCATTTTTTTCAGCACTGTCTTATTTCCAGCTAAATCAGGTAAAAATAATCCACATAACTTTATAATAAGTTGGAATACAATCAGACTTCTGGCGAAACTCAGAAGTGTAGTGAATGTAGATACGTGGGAGTATCCGAATAAAAAGAATAATACTTTAATTGAATTTTTGATTTTCCCGTCGATTGATTGGACCGAAGTGCTCGGTCTCAGGTTGACATGTCAGCTTCAAAAATTCAATTAAATTAATATGACCCGTTGCACAAGAGGTGGCTCTTGTGGCCCAAGTGGTTTAGTGGATAATGCTTTGGCGTTTGAAACTATGGGCACTGGGTTCGAGCCTCAACGTATTACCAGTTCATCCAAGTAGGTGACCAGAATTAACGTGATTTGATCCGATTCACTTCTCGGAGATGAGTTAAACTCGAAACACAGCTCATGAGACCCATCCCAAATGAGTCAGACGACCACCTGATGTTCAGACCACTACGATATGGCAAAGTACTACTGACTGACATAGGTTGTAGCCAAGGCCTCATACCAATCCATTAGTAGTATATAGCATCATGCACATGTTCTGTTTCATTTTCTTAATAGTAAACTGATCTAAGAATCTAAGTAAATTGCCATTATTTTGTCCGTCAATTATTCCAGATTCAATCCAGATACTATCTACAATATATCTAATATCTTTCAAATAATTATTAATAGAATTAGTAAAACTGTTTTCCTCCTTGTCACATGACTGATGTTATAACAAACAAGTTTGTGTATCATGGAAATGGCTCTTATACATTGAAGTTTTATTCATCCCTGGAATTAATATTACACATTATTTCATCGTATTCTATAAACTTTGGTCTTCCTTTACTGAACTTCCGTTGACTGGTTTGTTTTTTTACTATTAATTCTCAGTTATCTAAGAAGTGAAAGCCTTAAAATTTACATTTTGGATAGTTCAGCACCGGATCCTGAAAAAAGTTGCCTCGGTGTAGCTGTTGTCCCACTAATTGGTCTAATCCATAACAAACAACAAATTGATGGTGTCTTTGAAATATTCCCACCAAGTATTCTACTGCAATGGCAACAATCAAATCGACCTGAGCAAGTCACTAATCAAATGAGAAGTAGTTCTACAGGCTGTGGTTTATTACATTTAAAAATATATTGGAGTCAACCTTATATTACTGAATGTACACAAACTGGAGTATATAATCAGCCAAGTGTCAAAATGTCAAAAGATTTGGAAATAGAGCCAGTGAAACAAGCTGCAGAGGTAGGTTGATAAAAAATTATTCCAAAAATACTATCTCCTATCCTTTAATATATTTGAAAAATTAGGCTATACGAAGAAGCATTTTTCATCTGTTATTCCACGTCATCATGTTTTTGCCTCAAATATAGAAAGCCCTTACATAGATGTACATCAAAATTCAACAGTCTTATTTAGAAATAGAGAACAAATGTTAAAAAAGTAGGATTTGATGAATTCATCAGAATTCGGTAGAACACAGCTGGCTATCCTGTATTCAGTGTCATATATACTACAAGAAATACACTAGGAGATATATGATTAATTAATAAAATACAGTGAATTAGTCATGACAAAATGAAAGAAGAGAATGTTTCACAGGTCAAGTTCAGATAGGTATAACGTGGAAGGGGTATAAGAGATTGACACCTAGGAATAAAACAAATTACAGCGCAGTTACGTCAACATAATAAACAGTTTGTTATCACAGAGAGAACATAAAGATTTAAGGCACTGCAAAATGAATAATAATAATGGTGGAACTAATGAAGATCATGACATCGACAAAAGAACTCACGTCCCTTCAGCATGAAACCTAGGCTTAAGGTTTCCTGCCGTTTGCCTCCAGCCATGTAATAACAACAATTCACAGTGTACCGTGATGGCGAACCAACTGGCATGGTGGTCACATTGCAAACTTGACCAATAGATTTCATTCCGCATCAAAGACAGGACTAGACACATCACACTAGTTACCGACTAGTGTCCCATTTAAAAAGTTAGTTTTGAAACGTTAGTTAGTGAGGTCTTGTGAAAGATTAGGATTTTTCCATCAATATATATATAGGACTAGATAATTATACTCAATAAAACTGGGATACAAAGTTTGCTTACAGTCTTGTTAGTTTTAAAGTAGGGGAGGGATGAAAAGTTATCACGAAGCCCAAGGATAAATTTGCAATTTATCTAAAAATCCTTCTAAGGAAGATGAGTACAACAACCAACAACAATCAAGAATTGGATAATGCATGTATAGAAATCAGCTATAAAATTTTGTTCTTGAGGCAGATAAAAGACAGTTCACTGAATAACATTTTTGGTTACTGACTAAGTCATCTCCAGACACTGAATGTATCAAAATAAACAGCTTCCGTGGAATTGTTAACGTAAGCTTCGACTTGGGTCTCAATCATATTTTCAGATGGACAACGTCGTAAGGATAATCTTTAACTCCAATGTATGAAAGCCCAACGAAATGCTGGAGTCAGCATACAGGTAATGTAACTGGTTCAGTCAAATCAATCAAATGAGTATCTTCACGAGTGAAAGACAAGGTCAAATAACCCATTTCAGTTCTTCGACAATCAAACGCCGACTTAATGAAAAATATTTAAAGCAACTTTGCTGCGATAAATCTTTTAAAAAATTGCCTAAAGAGTTCCACTGCAATCTTGCTCAAAATAGCACTGCAAAACTGTACATTCAAAAATAGTTATTACTGAAAGGTTGTTGATTCCTTATCTCCCATGTCTGAAAATTTCAGCTTTTGTTGGTTATCTAATGCTAGCTGACTGACCATGCTGTGAAAAGGGTCGTTCCGTTATGTAATTAAGGACAAACATATTAACCAACCCATATTAATGATACCAGACAACTCATAGAATTCTTGTCGAAAAAGGAGTGTATGCTCATCAAATATCTCTAAAGCATTTCTTCCAGGAGATCAAAATAAAATGAGCTGTTTTCTTTATTTCTTAAATAAATGTTGAGCATGAATCCATTATCCTAGCATCCAATGAAAATCCTGAGTGTAATAATGATTTCAAGTAGTGAAATACTTAAGCTCCTTCTCTTCCATCACTCAAAGGTATTCCAAAGTACTTCCAATCACTATTATTCCTTTGACTATCTCGTTTTTTGTGGTGTATTTTGTTTTTAACCTAACACTTTCTGGATAGTTTACCGTTTTTCTACACATAGAATGAATAGGTGAATTTGAAAACAATGGTATTTAAAATAATACTCTTTTAAACTATATTGTTCATCTACTCTAGAAATGATCTTGAAAGACGACTCTGGTGGAGCTACGTGGCCTGAGTTCACCAAATTCTCGAGAATTGAGCTAGTAATTGTCTTACATTGTCCCTTTGCTAACCATGCCGGATAATGTTCAGAGATGCATTTGGAAAGCGTGCGCTTTATGCGGCCAATATAACTAGCTCCACACGAGCAGGTGAATTTATAAACACACACGCATTGATCCAACAAACAAATGACCTTTCTGCAGCGTCCAACAAATTATATGAACAATTGAAGTCTACAGTATTAAATAGCTGCCATCAGTACATCAATACGAAACCAAACGTCAGAAGATTGGTTTCAGCCGAGCACAGAAACCAACTACGTGGGATTCTAAAGAACAAAGACTTCGTTGTGACACGCCCCGAAAAAGGTTCTGGCATTGTCCAAGACTACATCGATAAAATGTTATCGGTCTTGTCAGATGAAAACAAATTTTCAGGAGAAAGTAGCCAGAAAGACTAAACGGAACAAATTGAAAGCAAGCTAACACAAATGCTGAAGAATATGAAGAACGAATGGATTATTAGCTCTGAATTATTCGAGCAAATACGACCATCCGGTTCCGTGATTCCTCGCTTATACGGTCTACCGAAAGTGCACAAAGAGAACGTGCCACTATGTCCAATCTTAGACATGACAAATTTTCCATATCATGCTACTGTCAAATGGCTCACAGAAATCCTCCTACCTATCAGAAATAACCTAGGAAAGCATAGTGTTTCTGATTCGTTTGAACTCGTCGATTCAATAAATGATGTTAATGTATCCGAGAAGAAAATGATATATATGGATGTTAATTCGCTTTTCACCAACGTTCCCCTGAAATTATATGCTTTATATGCAAATTCATTGAGGATAATAATGTAGACGTATGTGTTCCGATCCGCTACTTAAAGGAACTAATTTTGAGGTGCATTCTGAATGTCCAATTCAAGTTCAACAACACGATTTATAGACAAAGAGATGGAGTAGCAATAGGGTCACCATTGGGTCCTTTACTACCAAACTGCTTCTTGGCTAGTTTGGAGAATAGTATTTTACGGTCTACTAGCGACAGTTTTCATCTGTACCAAAGATCCATGGATGATACTTTCATCATATATGACGACAATACCGACGTCGAATTGATAACTAAGGAGTTTAACAGCTGCTATCATGCCATCAAGTTCACGTCAGAATCAGAGATTAACTCGGAATTCCATTTTTTGGATGTTTTTCTAAAGAGGAGATCTAATCGTTCTCTTCAAAGATCAGTCTACAGAAAACCAACATGGAATGGTCATTGAACAAATTTCCATAGCTGGGTCCCTTTGAGAAGAAATAGAAATCTGATCCATTCCTTATCCTCAAGAATAAGGAGGATATATTCAAGTGATACAATCGATGGGGAACTGGAGTGACTCAGACAAGTTCTCATAGAGAATGGATATCCTCCAAGATTCATCGAGAAAAACATGGAGTTAAGAGAAAAGCCTGGAAGAATCCAAACGGTGCCAAAGAAACTGCTATTTATGAGTGTTGAATTTAAAGGTGATAGTGCAGCTGAGATCCTGAAGAATTGCTTATGCAGATCACTGAGGAAAGCCTTCTTTATGGCTGAGCTACATATCAATTTCTACAGCCGACAAATGATTAACGGATGTGTGAAGGATAAACTGCCGCTTTGGGCCACCTCAATGTGTGTTTATAAATTCACCTGCTCGTGTGGAGCTAGTTATATTGGCCGCATAAAGCGCACGCTTTCCAAATGCATCTCTGAACATTATCCGGCATGGTTAGCAAAGGGACAATGTAAGACAATTACTAGCTCAATTCTCGAGCATTTGGTGAACTCAGGCCACGTAGCTCCACCAGAGTAGTCTTTCAAAATACTCTAAAAATGATGTTCGTTTTTAGGTTAGTTTGATTCTTAGGTATTCCTTTATTTAAATTGATCCCTTTTGGCTTCAAAGATGCTTAAAAATGAAATAGACTAGACTAAATAAATCAAGAAGAAAATTGACCGCATACTGCCGATTGGCGTGATTTGGAAATTTCAATTAATTCAATAACTATAACATCAGAAAGATACTCGGCTATTTATCAGAAAAACGTCATTGTACGACAGCTCATTTCACCGTAATTTGTGGTTTTAAAACACGGTTGATGAAAACATACGGTACAAGAACATTGCGCTACGGTACTACTATCTCTGAAATGTGCTAAAATCACATTTGGGGAGAATACTAAAGCTGAATGCAGGAAAGCAAACTATGCTATATATCGGAGATCTTCGCTAACTGAAATTCCTTTCAAATATGTCGCACATAGGAATCCCTCATCGTTTCCAGCAGTCATTGTTGAGCAGGATACAGTCATCCTGAGAAAAAGCTTGGTGTGTTCGGAAAACGCTTTAATCGTATCATATAGTGGATAATTGCTTTTTTTTACTTATTTTAAGAGGTTTACTTTGCCTGGCAAGGATTGAGTGTAGACTCTCAGGGGCACAGCATGAAGTCTTACACAAAAGAATAGTTGTATTTAGTTTTAACTGTCTTTACCACCTTGAATACTCTCCCTTATCTTCGTTTAGTCATCGTCGTTCCTCTCACATACATTTGTCCGTTGCAGTATCATTTTACTTCTCTTGCTTCATATCTTTGTGTGCAATGAAAACGTTTGACCATATGTATGCTATTTTACGTTGACTTGTCTGTTTTTATTGATATAATGCACCCAAAACTTGAAATAGTTTTGCTAAATTTCCATTTGGCATTTCTAACAGAAACCATACAAAAGTTTCGAACAGTCAAATAAAGAAATCAATTCAACATCTATAACATCGTCTTTCACTAGCCCTACTGATCTGTCTTCTAATCACTATTCATTCAACACTCCATCACAATCTACACCTTTAAAGAATCAACCTCCAGCCAATTTAGAACCAGTTAAAGAAGAATTAATTGAAAAAGTTTCAAGGGTTAGAGTCAACCAGGTAATGGTTATTATTCGGTTATAGCATAATTGCTTCCTTTTTTATTTTATAATCCACTTTGTACCAGTCAGCGAACTACACTGAACCCAGAAATTACAATAAAAGGAAGTAAGTGAAGAAAAATGGTTAACAGCTCAGTTAAGATTTGGTAAATTGACACACTTCTGAGTACTCTAAGGCGAAAGTGTATATTTAATGCTAATAAACACAACCATCAGGTCTAAAGTTAGTAATTGCCAAACATGTGGTTACATATAAGTGCCACGACCGAAGTTCTTTGGCGTGGTACGTTGAGATTTTTCAGATCACTTTAACGCAACTGTCACGAAGCAACGCATAATATGATTATTGAGAATGCAGCTTTACCATTCGTCCTCCCATTTTTGGTGAGATGAGATAGTAGTATAAAATTAAAATCTTCATATTAAGTTCGACCAGCGTACTTCACTTCAAAAAAGTAAGTAATTGAAAGATGCACACTGGGGTAACTCGAATATATATATATATATATATATATATATATATAATCCTTAGGGTTCCGAGTGCAACATATGGCTTCAAGTTTCAGTAGTTGTGGTATTTTCTATGGGATGAGGTTGCTAACGCCACGCCCAATATATATAGGCAGAAAATCAGTACTTAGACATCAACTGTAAGATTTATGTTCTTATCCTATGATGGAAGTCAGCTTGACCAGTCCCTTCGTCAGTGATTCATCTGAAGATAAGGACATGCATTTTTTCAACTTCAGGAGTTCATAACTCGAAAGTCAGACTCATTACTTGGAATGATATATCCCTGAAGTTTTACCATTGTTTTGTGCTCGAAGTTGTTTAGGCAAGGAATGAAAAAAGAAAAGAGGATAAATTAGACTCTACTTAGTTCCTTACAATCTTACAAAACATAATTAATTATTTTTTTTACTTAAATAATAATGCGACTTCATTTGGCGGTAATCTGAACTCTTTCCAACAGATCTGAATCATATTTTAAGCAAGGGCCTCTTGCTAATTAATCATTGTTATGTGGTGAATGACAAACAGGTTGCTCACCATTCTAGCTAGACTTTTAAATTTTATGGAAATCAGTATAAAATACCCCTCTGAGGCTGTGACGTTTCATCGGGATATCGAAGTTAAGGCCCACTGTTATCTCTTTGTACAAAAGGTAAGAGCCGGTTGACCTTGTTTTCTGTTTCACACTCATGATCCATAAGATGATCAGACATCTATCTATTTTAATAACTAAAATTCGTCCCATTGAAATAATTTGTATTATAAACTTGAATAATGTAATGAGACAGACAAAACACTTCGCAACTACATCCGACTGCCGAAGCTTTCACCATTCGGAGGACGAAGTACGTATTAGACGTACACAGAAAGACTACTACTAACTTATTATCACCTTGATCTGCATTTGCACCTTCCAATTTTTCTATTCCTTTACGTTCCCAGTCGAACATAGGGCTTCAAGCTAGAGCTTTGAAGTTTAGGTTGCTAGCCGCATGCCCAACGTTCCCTCTTTACGAGTCTTATTACTGGCCCGGTAAGGTAAATGAGTGCGTCGGCCGGGGATCGGACCCGGACCACGTGAGGCGTGGTCCACTGTGTAACAGACGTACTGCATTTCCAAATGAACTCTTGAAAAATTCATCACTTTGACGTAACTTGATGTTCACGACCGTACATTAAAGTATTAATCAACATCTTTATTAATGTCTTTGTTATGACCGTTTTTGTTTTAACAAATCTTCACATGATTACATAACCAACGTCACTTATGTGTGAATTCCAGAATATTCATCTCCTTTTAACATTAAAATCCCTACATTTTGATAGCGATTTACCAGCAGCTTAAAAATCTCCTAATAAGTCAAATAAAAGGAGAGTACCTCAACTTTATAGACTTTGAGAAGGCCTTCGACAGAGAGCGTTGACCGCGAAGCAATTTGGAAGCTACTCGACTACTACGGCGTACCCTAAATATTCATCAACCTTATTCAACAGCTGTACGACAACCGCAAATGTCAAGTGATCCACAACGGAAAACTCAGCTAGGCGTTTGGAGCAAACACAAAAGTCAGACAAGGGTGCTTATTATCACCAGTGATATTCCTAATTGTGGTGGACTGGATTATGCGTCAGACAGTGGGAAACGAGCAGACAAGGATATCCTGGACCAACGTGAAAAACCTAGAAGACCTGAATTTCGCGCGTGGATGATTTATGTTTGATGTCACACAAAATCGAAGGCTTATAAGCGAAAACCGACAAAGTGAACGAAGAAGCAGCTGGCAAAGACAGGACTCCAGGTGAACATAGACAAGACGGAGGTTATGAAGATAACCAACCAACAACAACAACAGGAACATCCGGCGCCAATCACCATCAACGAGAGGGATTTGAAAGAGGTCACTTCATTCACTTATCTAGGGAGCATTGTTTCAACTACAAACAGTCGGAACGGATGAGGATTTCAAATCGAGAAGGCGAGAAACACATTCGTCAGCCTGAAACCAATCTGGAAATCTTCGTCATTCAGCATCAACAACAAAATTCGGATTTTCAATACAAACGTCAGGTCAATCCTTCTATACGTATCAGAAACTTGGCAGGTCGCAAAGAATATTTCCAACAGCCTGTTGCAGACCTTTATCAACAACTGTCTTCGCTGAAGATCAGATGCCCGGGCCGGAAAGAATCACCAAAAAAGAAACTATGGGAACAAACAGACGAAGCAAGAACCAATCGCCAAACAAACATGCAGGAGTTGAAACAGTATGGACTAACATGGATGCAGGTGAAAAGTACAGCAGAAGACAGAAGCAAGTAGAGACGTGCAGTTGAAGCCCTATGTTCCACTAAGAACCCAAGGGAACAATAATAATAATATTCAAAGAGAATGCCCGTTTTGAGCTATATCATTCTCGTACCATACAACTGTATGAATATTTATAATTTACAAGTAAGATAAATAAGTCCCATACATGAAATCCAGCGAAATGGTCAAAACACTAAACGTGGCTAACAGGACAGTAGTGATTTGCAAGGGAGATATTGCAAATAACTAATCAATCATATATAAGTGAGTGGTCTGCAGTACATCTTCAGTATCCACTATCTTATTAAAAGGAGGTGACTGCAATTAATTTCCAGTTGTTTACTTTGTTTGTTTTAATTATAAACTTTCTTATTAACTTCAGGTTTCAAATCCACCTGCTGATTATTCTCTGAGCAAAAAGAAGACAGAAACTGTATCTTCTGTTCAAGTTGCATCACAAAATACAAGCGATAAGCCCAGTGGTGAGAGGTTTTGTTAAGTGATGATTTTTAAAATTTAACCTAAAATATGTTTAACAATTAATTTATTTGCAATTAATAGTGTTTTCTGAGCTCCTTGGTTTAACTGCGGAGCTTTCATCGTCTTTCTGGACGACATCTTCAGCGCAGTATTTAGGATAAAGTGAATTGATTTAAATTTCTTCATGAGTCTCCCGGTAACCATCTTTAGATATTTATTGACCGTTTTCTATTGATTGGGATTTTAAACTTTCTGATCACCTGATTTACTTCTTATTAGTTGGTATATTTCATCTATATTACAGTGTTTATTAATTGCGTTTTCATTTGAGTACCAGGCTTCTAGGAATTCTCTGGCACATTTGGTGTTTCCTCTGTTTAAGATTTTGACATTATCCCAATCAAATTGATGTCCATGATCGTCTGAATGTATTGATACTAAAGAATTTATATCATGTCTTTTCACGGCTGATTTGTGTTCCTGGATTCTTATTCGAAGGGGACGCCCACTTTGGCCGATGTAATGTTTGTTACAGTTCACATAATTTATTTTGTAAATGGTGTTAATTTTATCTCCCTTTTCTATCGGATCTTTTGGTTTGCATAAGATGGAATTAAGCGATTCAGCTGGTTTGTGTGCTACATCTATATCAAACGGTTTCATTATTCTAGCCGTTATTTCAGAGATGTTTCTGATATATGGTAGGATGAATTGCTTTTTGGTCTTTGGTGATGGTTCTTTGTTGGTGCTTTCATTCGATTTTAAACACTTTTTGATGAAATTTTTTGGATAACCATTCTTCTTGAACACCGTTTGTAAGTATCTTTCTTCCATTCTTTTCAACTCTGGTGTGCTACAATGTGTTTGAATTCTTCTAAACAATGTCTGCACACAGTTTCTTTTGTGAGTAATTGGATTGTTGCTAGTGTAGTTGAGTATTTGATCTGTGTGCGTTGACTTTCTGTATACTTGTGTTTCTAAATTTCCTGTGTTGGTTCTCCTGATTAAGACGATGAAAGCTCCGCAATTAAACCAAGGAGCTCAGAGAACACTATCAATTGCAAATCATCCACCTGAGTTACAAATCTTTTCTATTATTTCAAAATTAATTTATTTGTTAACACAGCGTTTTGTGCAAGAAAAAATCGTTCCTTATGTAAATATTTCATGAGAAACTGGTCAGTTTTCATAATAAACTTTGAATATTCGAAGAGTACTCAATGACTATATCACCTACGTTCAAGGCATATCGTAAGTGAATACCTCCCATGTACTGTTTGATAGTTTAGGGGATGACATTTACCAATGCAAGTAGTTTTCTTAAAACTCCTAAATTATTTGTTCTGTGTAGGTCAAAGGTAAAATAAATCATCAAACTGATAGTCCCAAACTGATCCCAAAATAAGAAATATATTTTGGGATCAAAATCGTAGTGCGAGGATGATTGTTTATCTGGCCAAAAACCGTGCACTAAAGAACAAACGATCGTAACACGAAAGCGTACCAAAATGGCGTAGATGATTGATCTCGAGTCTTCTGGATAACGAGTCGACTTAAACAATAAGTGATGAATACTTCAGGCTAGTAGTTTTGGGAAATTACATACCACTACAAAGGTTTGGCTTTTAAACCTTTACAGGAAGAAGATCACTTACAGATAACTTGTGACGAAGTTGTAATATATTTGGCATAAAATATGAAAGCATTTAATTTTCGTATTTCCGACGATGCACGAAGTGGAATGAAACGGTTGGGCGTCAACCTGAACATTTCTGCTGGTTTCAGTTCGTGATGACAAAGAGCCTTATACATGTGGTGTGTGCTACTTATAAGTAAGTATAAATAGTATACCAAGTGATGTCTTCAAAAAGGCTATGGCAATTTGTGTCAATGGAAAAGTCAGTGAAGAAGAGATGGTTACTTTGTTTCCTCTACCTCTACAAATACACACATTCCACTAACACATTCACGATGACTGACTATACAGATTATACGGGCACTTGCAAAAGTCTATTACTATGACGATCAGCTTGATTATTATCCTTTAATTCATGTACCTGAACTTTGATTCCATTATTTTACTCGTCTATGATTGACAGGTTTATTATATAATTGAGGAAAAAAAACTCCACTAGATATTAAAAAAGACAAAACATTTATTTATTTCAAAATTACAAACCAACTAAAAACGTAATATCATAACCATTTATGTAACTGTGTCATTACTTAACATGAAATTATATTTTATGCCTTAACTAGTTCCTACTCCACATCCAAGGACAAGAACAACAGAGTTTCATGACACGAAAGCTGATACTCTTAATTCGACTTTGACTAGTGGAGTTAAAGAAAATGAGCTACAAATGATTGCTTTAAAACAACAGAGTAATAATAATAATCTTCAAAATTCTGAGCAAAATCCCATTATTCAATCGTCAACAGATGATAATCAAGTGAAAATTGAACTACACGGTTTACATTTAACTGATCTATCTAAAATACCAAACAATCAGATACCAAGTCAGATATTTGTTGAATACTCATTTCTTGGTTATAAAGAACCATTTGAAACTGGTTCTTATCCACTTACAGAGTGGATGGACAATGGAAGAAAGATATTGAAATCGAATTTTTATTATTCTAAAAGTAAGTTGGAGACTGATTTATTTATTTAGCATAGAGTTACTGATGCGTCATAGAGAATAATAAGTCAAGAGTTTGTTTGTAGGGGTTTGATTTGTTTCAAGTTTGATCATGGATTGATTTAAGTTAGAGAACAATTGCACACCATGGAGTACCGGACAGATGTCTCGTTATAGTTTGAGACTTATCGGCAGTACGCACTCACCAGGTTTCGAATGCAAAATCAATCTGATGGTTTCTAATGACTTGCTACAGGACGAAGTTACCAGGAGATCTGGTGAGAAGTCATGACCAGTGGAACCCACCAGGTCCGGAATGAGGACAAATACTCGCCAATGGCGGTGGTCGCGCTAGAATCACGAATTGACAGAAGTTGGAAATCATAGGCCATTTACTCGGGTCCCAGTGGCTGAATGGTCTGCTAGCTTTCCTTATAACCGGATGATCTTGGGTTCTAAGCCGGCGGGTACAAACTGCCTATAATTCTTTGACTAGGATGAAACATCTGTCCACTACTCCCTGGTTTTCAATGTTTCTATAACTGGCATCAATCCATGATCAAACAAAATAATATGTCAGTCGATATCATGTCAACATAACTGTAAGCGCAATATCGCTTGAAATTAAGTTACGCGTAGATAAAGGCTATCCCGGTCCAGAACAAACAAGAAGCCGGTCACTGTTTCTACGGTAATATTAATAAACAAATCAATAATTATAAATACAACAAACGTTAACGGTTTCAAGAGTACAAAGCACAACACTTAACAGGAAGCAAGGTACCGCTATCAGAGCGGAATAACGTTAAAGCCAAAATTGCGAACTAGTCGGAATCAGACACGACCGTTCAGGTAAGCAGTCAGTACAAGAATGAACCCAAGTAAGGCATGGCATAAAACAGAGAGCGGTTAAGAGACAGACAGAGCATAGACACAAAGATAGAATTTAATTGGCTACTTAACCAGGTAGGAAGATACAGATGAAGATCAATAAATAAGATAAACTCAACAGAATAGTACAAAGTAAGACATGGGTCAGCAAAAATAACAGTTCAAAAAATACTCTGACTGGGTCATGAGTTCAACTGTCTGACTAAACAAATCGAGGTAAAAACACATACACCCAGTTCATTAAACAAGGGGGGATAGACACGTTAGGCATGGATAATTGGGCTGCATCAACGCTAGGCTGATCCGGGACAGATTGACTTGATTCAAGGATGGGAATTGAAATGATCTTACAATAACTATCCTACTTCCTAACTGTTATGTACTGGTCAAGTAATTAATAGTCCTGACGCAAGAAGGCGGAAATCAGAAAACCACCAGGTTCACGATGATACTTGTATTTTTTCAAACAAGGAAAATCAATGTCACACAAGTGTATGAGCGAATGTTCAAAAATGAACGAATCAATAGACAGTCTTAACATGATTGGTTGTAATGTCATGTGACAACAAGGTCAGACATGTTTGTTTAGTTAGTGGACAGACAAAAACATATTGTCAATTATAATGGAATATCAATCCATATATACATAGCAAAATATAATAGACTGTCAAAAACAAAACACACACATTATGTGGATACATATCACTAACTCAATTTGCTTGATTCAACCTGTATCTCATTCCCTATTTTCAAATAGACCAAATGTGCGATTTATTCTTACTTAACGTTTTAGGTACTAAATTGATAAGCAAGGAGTGCATAATCAGCCTGCATTTTCGTACAACTAAATCGAGTTTTCAGAACTGTTACCTCATCCCACCCCAACATGTACCACTGAATGGATAGTATAACGCAAATTTTCCTCTGGATTACTTACGTTGGTAGGATCTGTCATTCTAAATTTATGGGAATTCTTGTTCTGTTAGAAGCTGAGTGACCTAAGTCTATTGTTACTATGTAAACTGAACTATTCTTTCAAATTTGAACATTTAAAACCTAAAGATGATCATTTCTTCATTAAGTCACTTTGTAGATATGAGTACCCACTTAACTTCAGTCTAATCATGAGTTATACATTAAGTATCAGATGTGCTAGATTTATGCGGAAAATGATGTTACAGTTATTCTCTACATTACTATAGCTTAGCACTTTTCAAATAAAATTGATTAGGGTAATTATTACACAGGCTTTATTTGCTTTGGTTTAATTTTTGTAGTTGTTAATGAAACTTTTGAAAAAAAAGATGCTAATACTTAAGATAATAATAGTATGAAGTGTAGTTAGACTTTTTGTGCTTATAAGCATAGTTAACTATGGTGAGATTAAACTTTAAGTAACAGTAAGTACCAATAGACAAGTGGCCTTGAACACACTAACCACATGAGAAAGATTTCCAATTGTAAAGTACTTGTATGCTTGTAAATAAATAAATAAAATGGCATGAAACTGTTGCACAGGACACCTTCCTTTCATGTGTGACAAAATACCTCCCAGTTTTGCATAAGCGTGTCAATAAAGAAATTAAACCATATTCTGTACATGTATTCACCTGATTCTTCTAGCTCTAATCTTAACCATATCTTTCCTTAACCTAACCCTGACGCGAAACTATCCCTAAACTAACTCTAATCTACCTTGAAACAACCCTAATATCTTACTTCCTAGGTTATCATAATACTAACCTGTCCTAAGCCTAAAACTTAACTTAATCTTTCCCAAATCTAATTTAAAACTTACCAGATATCCTGTTTAATATCAAAACACTTCAGTGCACATATTTTGTTCATGACTATAGTGTCATTAGCTTGGTTCCACTAACTTGTTCACTGAGCTTTCCAAGGTTACTATTGTAGCCGCACTCCAATGGCATTTACTGTTGCTTGAAGTTTAGCTTGGCCTTAAATGTCAAATGGTAAAACAAATAATGTCATACATAAAATAATTTACTAATTCTCATTGTAACATTAATAACACAATATTCAGACTCTTTTCAACGGATTAATTATGAAGCTCTCTCTCTCTCTCTCTATATATATATATATATATATATAATCCTTCTACGTTCCCAGAGGAACACAGGGCTTTAAGCTAGAGGCTTGAGTTTTCGGTAGCAGTGGTGCTTATTTCTACGGGATGTGACTGCTAGCCGCGTGCAATTCCCCTTTACTAATCTTATTACTGGCGTAGTGAGGTAAAGAAGTGCGCCGGCCGGACATCGAACCCCGGACCACGTGCGTGGTCTTAATTAAGAAATTATATCCCGTGGGGAAATTTTGCTGAATATACCGAATAGTTCATAAGATGTATAGACGTTGGAAGGGGTGTAAAATTATTAGATTGATAGGCAAATAAAGCCGTTAATTAACATGGTGTGAAATTCGCAAACTTACAATTTGATACCGCTAAAAAAATCCTGATTTAGAATGACAAGCAGGACAAGTGAAATAATACCGGAAACAGTTCAAAGTGAGAATAGTAAAAATCGACATAACAAGGGGAGGATATACAAAATGAATAAACAAAACGAAAAAAATAAGTACAGCCACAGTTTAAATGGGGATTATCACACTTTAGTAGGGACGGATTAAGGCCATAGGAGTTGGAGGGATTGAACAAACTTTTTTCTGCATACAGAGATATGGCTTTCCAATTTGATGGCGAAAGCTTCAGCAATACAGATGAGTCGGATACGCAGTGACTTAGGCAAGTTATTTCTCGTCTTATAGATTATTGCTCATACATTAAGGCAGGGTTGCTATCATAGAAACAAAAATATTTGAATCTGATTATTTTTTAGAAAACTGTTGAAACCCAAGGAATCATAGAGATTTGTTGCTTACTAGTGTAGGTTTCTCTAGTAATGACGGCACTAATGAAGTTGATTGGTACAATATTACCATGAGAAAAGTATGTTCTTTAGTTTTCGACGATTCCCTGATTAGAATCAATTTTGATGAAATATATTTTGGAATTATTCAGATACCTGTAAATCGAACATCAGAATATTGAACTGTAACTAAGAATACATGAATCCACAAGATCTCTTTTCGTAACTTCACTTCAAAGCTGTACAGTTATTTTGGTGGTTTATGTATACAACGTTAGCTGACAGCAAAGGTCAGAGGTCATTGTCAGTTATTAGTAACATAAATCTCATATACTTTGATTTCTTTTATTACAAACTGATAGTAACCTCTGACCTTTGTTATAACTACATCGGGTGGAAATTTTTCCCATTGAACTGTACCAAGTAAACTGTGTATTGTCATCCTTAGCCGACCTTCCATTTAAGAGCATAATAGTTAAGAAATTACATCCAACCCTGTGACATAAACCACATTAATGGCATTTTTTATGTTTTAAATGCAAGGTATGGTGATTTACTGAATTGTTCTCAAATACTTATTATCACTTTTCATAGTCTATGGAATTCCACAAGCATTATTGTGTTACGTAGTCCACCACCCGACCGAAAGCTGCTACCTTGACGTGGTGGTCGGGCTTGAACACCGCAATGACCTAATCAAGCTATACTGGCTGAGACTTATGTCTCTTGAGGTTCTACCATGCCAGGCAGGTTGTTTGGATAGCGGTTAAACAAAAAGCAGCTACCCATCCAATACCATGATCCAAACAAATTCACAAAATTTCATGCCGGATCGGCCGTGGCCCGGATTAACAACGACCGCGCTTCCTGCTGCCGTGTCACAGGGCAGGAGTGATAAGTATGCTACTGAGGCACACCAAACAAAAGAGAACAAACAAAAACAGGCCGCGTGTGACCGGCCTCAAGCAGTTGTCCCCTGGGCTCTGCGGTCACGCAACCAACTTCCACGGTGTGGGCAGCCGGGAAGTAACAATCGCCCTCACAATCCGAAACGCACACAAAACCTCTCTAATCCTCACTTATCTTTGTCTTCATCTTCATCTCTATTACCTTGCCTTCCTTCCACTGATGCAACTCCTCTACTTGATGGCTCCTCACTCCCTCTTCACTCTGTGTCCACTAAAAACGACGAAAGCCAAAAAACCACCACCGATAGTCTCCTAAAGCCACGCCACCAATTTCATATAGGAGCATTTAATGTTAGGACACTTTGCCAAATAGGACAACAAGCATCACTAGCTAAGACCCTGGCATCCGAGCCATTGATGTATGTTGTGTTTCAGAAACACGCATACAAGACCCAAGTGTGGTTATTCACCTAACCCCACCTGGCCAACAGGATGAATCTTCAAAATTCACCTTGAGGGTGTCAGGAGATGCCACAGCTAGTTCACGAGGATTAGCTGGCGTAGGGATAGCTTGAGTACTAGGGCAGAAAAGACATTGCTTGACTGGATCCCGGTAGATAGCCGAATGTGTGCTGTCCGTCTGAACGGATCAGTAAGAAGGAGAAAGGACTGCACTACTCGCCGATGCCTTTTCGTAATCTCCGCCTACGCCCCCACTGACTGCAGTTCGGATGAAACGAAGGATGAGTTCTACCAAAAGCTGTCTAGTTTGGTGAGAAAGGCTAAACGCTCAGATATAGTCGTTCTAGCTGGTGACTTTAACGCTCAAGTAGGGAAATTGTGTCAATCTGAGAAGGATGTCGGTGGCACCTATGGAGTTCCGTGCCAGCGAACCGACAACGGTGACCGTCTCCTACAGTTCTGTTCAGATAATCATTTGTTTCTTGTAAGCACTAACTTTAAACACAAGGAGAGACACTGTTTAACCTGGCGACCCCCATCATCAAACCAACGCTGGACACAAATAGACCACATAGCAATAAGCTATCGTTGGCGTGGGTCGGTAGGAGATTGTCGCTCCTTCTGGAACACGTGTGTAGATACCGATCACGCACTGGTCCGGGCTCGTGTGTGCTTACGACTGAACGGACGTAGGAAACAGCTGGCGGTAAAACCATCACGTCCCCAGCTCGATCAGGAAACTAAATCCCTATTTGAGGAAGAACTAGCTAAACGCATATCTGAATTCGACAGCTGTGCTCACCCTGGAGAAGCCTGGAAGAATATTCAGTCAGCTATAGATACAGCTGTAAAAGCTGTGAATAAGACAAATCCAAAGGTGAGTAAAAACCACTGGATTTCGACTGCCTCATCCGAACTGATAGATGCTAGAAGACTTATTCCGGCGAGCTCCGAATTCAATGAGGAGCGAAAGCTGCACAAAAGGAAACTTACTAAAAGTCTCCGCAAGGACCGTGAACAGTGGTGGGTGACAAAGGCAAAAGAGATGGAAAAAGCATCGGCGATAGGCAACACTAGGCAACTCTTTAGACTCATCAGAAACGGGTGGGAGAAGGCAATTCATAAGTGAGACTATTTCTGAGAAAAATGGCTCCTTAATTAGCTCTCAGGATAGACGCCTTGAACGCTGGAAAGAACACTTTGAGGACAATTTAACTTGCCTACAGCCACACTGAACCTCCCCGATATCCACCACACCCGAATGGGATATAGACACTGGTCCGCCGTCTGTAGTGAGGTTACAAAAGCTATCAGTAATTTGAAACGAGGCAAAGCGGCAGGACCCGACGGAATTATTCCGGAGGTGTTTAAATATGGGGGTGACATACTAGTTTGTAGATTAACTGAGGTACTAGGCAAAGTCTGGGAATCAGAGACAGTACCATCAGACTGGGGTAAGTCACTTATTATACCGATATTCAAGAAGGGAAACAAGTCCTCGTGTGATAATCATAGGGGGATCAGCCTAACGAACATAGTCTCTAAAATCCTAGGCTCAGTAATCATGCATAGACTAAGCAGAACTCGGGAGGAACAGACAAGGGAAAATCAAGCAGGCTTTAGACCAGGTAGAGGGTGCATAGATCATATCTTCACTCTTCGACAGATTCTAGAACATAGACACACTTTTCGGCGTCCAACAATTGTCATATTTCTTGACTTGAAGGCGGCCTTCGACTCCGTGGATCGAAAGGTACTATGGCAATGTCTGACTGTGAAGGGAGTGCCAAGAAAGTACATTGCACTAATCAAGGCACTCTATTCAAACTCACGTAGTCGTGTAAGGGCTTATGGGGAATTGTCATCTGAATTGGTAACAACCAGTGGTGTCCGACAGGGATGTCCACTTTCCCCATTTCTGTTTAACTTCATCATAGATATGCTAATGGAAGTATCCTTAACTGAACGTAATGACTTAGGAATCGACTTGTTACCAGGGAATAATCTTATGGACTTAGAATATGCAGATGACATAGTCCTGTTAGGGGAGGATGCTGACAAAATGCAGAGTCTTCTGAACACCTTGAGCAGCAATCTTCGTATGTTTGGCATGCGATTCGCCCCTACAAAATGTAAGATGCTGCTACAGGACTGGACCACGTCAACCCCTAACTTAGTGATAGGGAGTGAAGTGATAGAACATGTTGACCACTTCACCTATTTGGGAAGTTGTATTTAATAATAATAATAATAATAATAATAATAATAATAATAATAATTGCTTTATTCCAAAAACAGTACTCATGATACAGCAAGGAATTTTCAGCATTCAGTACAATATTGCATCTAATTTACCCAAAAACGACAAAAAAAATTAAAAATACACAATACATAATAGTAATAAAACGATTGTTGTAGCAGCTGCGTAGCAAAATACTGTGTGCCATACGGAGAAAAATATGTATAAAGTACAAAATTGTAGTAATAATAGTAATACCAACTAATATAAAATAGCAGAGTAACGATTTAAACGATAGAAAGTGCAACACCATAAAATACAGAAAGATGAACGATAAAAGGGTATTACCACCAACGGACTGATTGGCGATGAAATTTCAGCACGGATCCGAAAAGCTCGAGCTGCTTTCGCTGACTTACACCATCTCTGGCGTAGGTATGACATCCGGTTATCAACCAAGGGACGTGTGTACTGCTCAGCAGTTCGCTCCATCCTTCTCTATGGCTCTGAAACATGGCCAATACGCGTTGAAGACATGAAAAGGTTGACTGCTTTCGATCATAGATGTCTGCGATCCCTGTCTCACGTTAGGTGGTTTAACAAGGTAAGTAATGTTGACGTTAGGCGTAGAGTGTTGGGCAAAGAGGGAAAATCAATCGACGAGGCTATAAAGTTACATAGACTAAGATGGCTAGGTCACGTGCTGCGCATGCCTAACCACCGCCTCCCCCGACGGGCATTGCTAGCCGATATAGGTGCAGGTTGGAAAAGAGCCAGTGGTGGCCAAACAAAACATGGCATCAATCCATGAAATCCTTGTCAGTTAAACTGAGTCGGTCAGGTAGGGAGATGCAGACTCCCGGGTTGGGGCCCTCGGGACTCTAGGAATCAATGGCTGGAGACAATAGGTGTCATGGCTCAAAATCGTTGTCAATGGCGCAGATGTATTCAGTCTCTGTAATCTTTCATATTCCTTTCTACCATTACCCATTCTGTTTCACTCTTATACTTGTCAGACTGTATTGATTCTCTTCACTCATCTTCTTGTCTACCTCTGTGTGCTATTTGGAAGGTGGCAACTCGAACTGGTGCACTTCGGTGCCAAGTTCTATGTTGAATCCAGACAGCCAGACTCAATAATGAGCAAGCAGTTAAAAACTACTTGTATTATTAATTGTGCTTGCTGACAAGATCGAAACAATTTAAACATCCGATTAGTTTTGCTCATTTTCAAAGCCTACCCTATCAGAATCACAGTCCGGTTTCTGATCAGTCACACCACTCCGTTGTATGCGTTTATAAATTTTTTGCTCACCTTACTCTAGTTGTATTTGGATCAATTCAACAAAAGCCAAAAGGTCTTTTACATCTAAGATTTCATCAAATATTTGTCGAAGAAATATGGACAGTATTGATCAAATTGATTCTTTCCACGTCATCAGAAATTTTCACTCCCTAGAACAATATTCACTGATTAAAGCTATTCAGATCATCATGTCTGATTCCCCTACATAAGTTAAGACCTCAAGGAGACTGGTTAATAATACCAAATTGTATTCCTTAAATACTCCTTGAAAGTAACCCACTGAGAAATCCTACCTCATCAAACCTTGAAGGCAGTTACTCCCACCAGTACACCTGTAATAAAGTCAAATTATGACATCGAGCATCCCTGTTGATCACCATTAGTTGTCCACAGATTCGACTGGCACCTTTAAGTCAAGAATTACGACAAGCATGGAGATTTTTATTTTCATTGCTGGACGCATCAGACAATAAATATTTTACTCGTTCATTCTATTGGTTCAGGCTTTATTTAAACAGTTTGTTAGTTCATAAAACTCAGATGCCAGCTATTAGATATAAAGCCTGAAAACAATCTGACTCTTGAATACTGGTAACGGAAGTAACAACTGGTAACAAATCAACAGTCAGACAAAAACGGAGATTTAAACATCTAGTTGACAGCTTTGACCACTTCAATGATCTAGTTTATGTAACAAAATTCCCCAGCGAAGTGAGTCTTTAATGGCAAGATTGATTTAGAATCAATACAACTTTCATCCAGTGTTTTAAATTACTGTAAAATGGTTAACGAAATCAACAGCTAAGTTTGGTTAACTCCTTACTGCTTATTTTATTTACTAGTACACATTCGCCCAAACAGTCTTCTATTCCATTTACTCTTTTGGCTTTTTTCTTTCAGCATTTCCAGTAGACTTTACAAATAATTATGAACAAAGACAATATTTAGCTAGTCTACTACTTCCTCAAGATCCAAATAATGGAAAATTAGTTTTTGTAATTGTCGCTGAACCATCCACTATGCAGTCGGCATCAAGTGAATGTGAAGAAGTCGGTTATGCTGTGATAAATATACGACAAATGGTGAAAGATAATTCTCTTATTGATCATGCATTTATTCCAAGTAAGCAATTGCTAACCCCATTCCAATAATGATTATAATCACTTTGAGAAAACCAGCAGAAGATAATCATATGACTTTTAAATCTATAGGAAAAGTCTGTCTTCGACAAGATGGTGTGGTGTATGGAACTGGTTGACTGATTTAAAAATCCTAAAGTGAACGGAACGGATTTCCAAGTACTCATGCTAAAGAGCCAAGTCTCCATAACACCAATTAATAGTTGACTTTTATATGAGTTCCTCGGTTTTCTAATTGAAGGCTACTATCTGTAAAATTAAGCAACTCCCAAATAATCACGTTTGTCAACAGAAGTTATCAGATGATGATAGCGGTCAAGTTAAATGAAGGATTGGTGAATTACAATCATATGACTTCTTATGAGCAGCATAAATTCAAATTATAAGTGATTTGCATTCAATCACTTTAGTTCTGTTGTGCTCACTGATGAAAAGGGTCACGAAACGAAAGTAAACGAAAAAGAATATGCGAACTCATAATTTGTGTAACTGAAAACCTACAAAATCATTGGAATGGTAATAAAGTATTCGTTTTATTACTATAATGAAAAAGTTATAATAGTATAATGTCAGAGTAGTGTTAACTAGCATTTATCAGATGAATACGAATTGATGAAAAAGGTTGTGAGAAATCAGTTCATTTTGAACTTTGTATAACACCATTGAAAGGCAAGAAACAGTAGACACTGTTTCAGGTCAGTTGGGAACTGCTAGATAATATGGGATTGAGACAAAAGCCTATTGGATTCTGGCTTAGTAAATGACGTACTCACAACAAGACCTGCTTGTCGATCTGGGAAGTTATGTTATGGGCAACACTCAGAAGTCCTGAACATGAGGGGAACAACTGTCAAATAGTTTTATTTTCAATGGAACCATAACTGGTGGCAGTAGTAGAATACTTGTTAACTACGCAAGTGGTACGTGGTTCGACCGGCAGCTAACCCATTCCTAAACCTCATTAAGCTGGTTAGTAAGCCAAGCAAAGAGGAGAGGTTGGGTGTGAAGTTAGCAGCCTCATCCTTTAAAAAAAAACACAACTGCGACTGAAACTTTCAACCTAGAGCTTGAAGCCCTATGTTCCACTAGAAACGCAAAGAAATAAGTGACACATGAGTAGTAATTTTGTGGGGAAAGGCCACACTAATCGATGCTTCATGACACTCGCTCCAAAAATATATTTGCAGTTTTGAGCACACTTCAAAAATGCCGAACTAGATAACACAGTAATGACTTATCACTTATCGTTGTGACATCTTCTGTAGAGTTCGAGTAGTGCATATGAATCGGTCTTTGAACAAACTACTAATTGTGAGAAAAAATTACTGGAATTTGTAGTGTTTCCCCGTTTATGCGCACTACTTTTTAGATAACCAGTATTATCGTTCATCTTTCCACTGTTCTGCTCTTTGATTTAGTTACCTCCGCTAAAGATGTAAACGACAAAGCAGAAAATACGCATGAGATTGGAAAACTGTGTGTGTCACTGCACTGTTTACCTGCGCTTCGAGCAATAATTGCTGAAATGCCAGACATTAAACTCGCCATATAATTGTGCTACTCTCAGTGTGTACTAAATACACAAAAACGTTGAGACAAAACCTTACAAAATGTATGTTTCACTTTGCCTTGCTGTTAATATCTTTTCATAAAAAAATATTATGCATAAAAAGAAAGTTGACTTTTGCCATCATTCTTCATAGACTTAGAATTTTTCTTCATAAGTAGAGATCTTTAAGTAGGTTAACTATTGAAAACTAAGGACCATTGGTTCTATTTTAGAAATTCAGTATTGTGTATAAATCATTCCATGGAGTCTAAAGTCACAGACCACCAAATCTTGCAAGAAGTGTGCTGTTACTTCTTTTTTATTGGAATAATCTAATTATCTCTTGTCTATAATCAGAACAGGCATAACATGAGAGAAGCTTTAACGGAAACTTACTGCAATATCAGTAATCGTCAAACATACACATTATTCGTCTAGAAGTTTTTCTCAATCTCAATAAAATGGGAATAAGTTGAGGTTTACGGGTTATCGGATCGGGTCCCAGTGGCCGAATGGTCTACAAGCTCACCTTGTAACTGGGAAGTCCTGGATTCGAACCCCGATGGGTGTATACTAATGAAGAGTTCCGAACTGGGAAGAAACTGTTATCCAATACTACCTCGTTTTTTAGTGGTTCTCCAACTGATATCAGTTCGCGATTAAGCTTGCAAACCAACATTTGGTAATCGATAAATTTGTTTTATTGTCTCAGTCAAGTAGACAAGATCTTCACAACAAACAGTGCTAGCCTCAAACAAACCACTTATGCAATTGAATTTATACCAACTTCCAAGTCTGGGAGGATTCTGAATTTATAAGGCTGACATTGCTTATCCTTGAAGGCTGACGCATGATATAATTAACACTTTTAACCATTTACTACGTAAGCATACCTTTACTGGATGAAGTAACACCATCTACCTGGTATTGCTATTCGGAAACTGGAATCAGGAAAATTCATTACATGCTGGTTTCTTTACCAGTTAAATATGGCGACTCCAACTCCACCGTAGAAACAACGCTACTGTTACTAGAACTTTAAGGTTTAAAGCCCTATTTTCCACACAAAACGGAAAGGAATGAAGAAATAAGAAAAGAAGGTTCATATAGTATTTTAATATTTTACAGAAATAATATATACATGTAGTTTTTCTACTGAAATAAAGTGAATTTCCTAGCTGATAGAATATTAATAGTAATAATCACAATCTGATTCTGTGTTGCTTTTTGATCTGTCAGAGTCACTAGATGAACTCATTTCATCAGGATAATCATTTCGCCAATTGGATTCACTATTCGAATCATCCTCATCATCATGGTTACGCACATCACCATCATCATAAGCTTGGTCATCATCATCACAGATATAATTATGCATATTTTTAATCAAAGGATTATCATTTGATGATATGTCATCATCTGGACACCATATTATTGATTCAGCTGAATAATTTGAATCTGGCATCATTTTGTAAATATCATATACAAAGTTCGATTCACTAGACTTTTTATCATTTTCGTTAGTATTGCCGTCATTCTCATCACCATCAGTTTTATTGTTACATTTTAATGAAGTCGACAGAGTAGATTCTGGAATTAATTCAATTATTTTGAGTATTTTCGGAGGACGAGGACCAGTGGATTTGTCAGATGAATCAACATTGAGATTATTGAATTGATCAAAAATATTATTAGAAGCTGGACGTTTTAAACTGTTCACTTTGACCTAAATACATGGGAGAAAAGCAAAATACCGAGGACAATTAGTGCATCTATATAGCGAATACACAATTAGAAACACAGAAGTAAATAGAAGTATTTAGCTGAGAGAAAAGATTTTGATTGATTTTCATATTCAAGTGGTGGTTTGCAGTGATTTGATTGGCTACATCACGAGCTGACATCGGTTAGAGAACCACCGGAAAACCTGAGAGTACTTGACAGCCGTTTCGTCCTAATATGGGACTCTGCATCGATACACACCCATCGAAATTCGAACCGAGGACCTCCCTGCTACAAGGCAAGCTCGTAAACCATTTTTATTAACGTGGCTTCGAACATCAGTCTAAAAGTTTTGTACAGTACTGCTTGACAAATAAGTCAACGGTAACCACACCACCCAACCGTATTCTCAAATACATATATATTATTTGACTGACTGGCGAATTTAGAACGCTGCTCACAAGTACATTAGTCTAAGTAACCACTTCAAAATAGCAATAAAGTAACAAATAAGAAAAGAAACACGATTATATTAAACTAAACAAGCATGTGTAAAAGGAGAGGATTTTGTAAAAATATTCAGAATTTCGATGATATGACGAATACATTTGTCACATTGTGAACGACATCAAGATAACTGCAAACATTCCCTAACAATAGTTTCTGAGAATCCTGAGGACGCCAGTCGGACCACACACTCGACTCTATGTAGCTTAAAACAATAAGTAGAGACTTAATAAATTACAATCACAATTTGTTCTGACCATCTGTAACATTTCTCAAACCTAATATTACTTCAGTCAGAAATACTCTGAGGGAGGTGGTAGCTCGACATGCGTAACACAAATCATGGCCACCTTGACTGATGGAGATTCATTTCTTCATTGACTGGTTCACTTTCTCTACGCAACATTTCGTGCCTGGTTTCAACAATACTTATCATGAGAATCCATCTGCAGTAAGCAATGGAATAAATGCAACTACGATCTAGTATTGTAGTCTTTTCACATCTTCTTCCAGAGGTTACGTATCAAAGCCCTACATTAAAAAAAAATAAACTGATTGACTGATCACTATGAAGTAACTAACAGTCCACAGTAATGGTGTCAGGGAACTTAATGGTAGCGTCTCTGAATTCAGCAATGGGTAACTAAAGTTACATTATCTGAGGAGATATCTGATACTTTGAGGTTGCGAATACGACTTCGTGACTAATGCCGATAGGTATGAGATTGTGATCTAGGGCTTTCTACTGAGTGCCACCAACGGCGTATAAGAATGAACTGGTGATAAGTAATACATATCCTTTGACAATTTTCTCAGTACCTATCCAGAGTTAAAAAGTGACTCGAATCGCAGAACATCGAATAAGTCGTCAATATTTGTGTTGAGGTTTCTTCAGAGACCGTATTGTCAAGACTGACATTACTTCCAAAGTAAACAAAATGATAAGTCTATTCAGTCAATTTACTGTTCATTTTTCAACTAAAAGTTATCCAGATAAGTCCTACAGTATTTATCTTACATTTCACAAAAGACAGAACATGTAGATTTCTGACTTGCCCGTTCAAGCATTCGACTTTTAATCGATGGATCACATGTTCAGACCTTATTCCACCTAAAGAGCTCTACGCAAGGTCGATGTAAGTGAGTAAGGTTGCTGTGTAATATTTCATTATACATAAAACACTCGAAATTTTCATCCATGTTTAAAAGCTCCAGCACCAAACCAACCGGCTCTCTTCTTTTTCGCAGTTCAACTCTCTAGACGTCAAAATTAGAAGTTATGTATATCACTGAACTGTTTATTGAATATATCACACAATGAAATAGTATTACTTGCGAGATCACATTTCGAGTACCTAAACCAATAAGTCATAGACCAGCTACTATTATTGCAACATAGTACCATACTTTTTATGTGGTAGGTGGAAGAGAAGTGTCACTCAATGCGAAGTAACTCACTGAAATGCAAAGCCGCTTGTTTACACGGTTAGGAATTACTCCTCTTCAATGACATATTCTAGAGGCGGTTAGCAAAACTAAGATTACTGGGTCATTATTTTAGTAAAGAATATTATAGAATATCAAAATATAAACTATGGTACTCACCTGACACTTTACTGAGCGCTCCTCATCGACAACGGTAGCATCCGATTTGTTACAAACAATCTTGCATAATTTATCCGAAGACTCACACACTTCATCAATTTTATCCGTATGTGGACATTTTGATGTTTTTTGACTACCAATATAACGGAACTTGACCGACTGTACATCGTTTTTTGGGCGTTTAATAAGATTTTCTGTTTCACAAATACTACTCGGGAAATCAGAATTGGAACGTTTAATCCGCAAGTAGATATTCATATCCCATTGAAGCCTGTAAAAATCAAAAGAACACTTTCCAAAATCGCTAAAAGCTGAAATATTGACATGCACACTGTGCTGTATGTAAACTCTGTAACTCTTTAGGACAACTCTCTAAATACCATAGGCTGTTTCTTACTTTCCTGACATCTTATGATAATAGCCAATTTGTATACGATGGAGGCATAGATCCCCATCTAACACAACGAAGTCAAGGCTGGATTACGTCAGTCACTGACCACGCACCAAAAATGCATACGTCGAAGGTTGGGAAGAATGATACCGTAAGTTTGCAGACACAAACATCAATGAAGAAATTAATAACACTTCTTTGTACAGGGAGTGCGTCGGTGGCATAGTGGTTAGGACGCTCGCCGGCTATGCACGTGATCCGGGGTTCGATCGCCGGTCGACGCACTCTTTTACCTCGCTAAGCAGAAATAATGCTGGTAGAGAGGAAAGGTTGGGCATGAGACTAGCAACCCCATCCTGTAATAATAAACACCACTGCTTGAAGATTCCTATGTTCCACTGGGAACGTGAAGGAAAGAAAAAAATACAGAGGGTAATTGTGAGCAGGATGTATAACACGTTCATGTCAATGCAGAAGAGTAGACCTAGACGTCTATAAAAACAGAAACACCACTCCAACTAGAAACAACAATTTCGTTGAACGACATCAAAATCATAGTTAAAAACATTTCCGAAGTCAATCTAAAAAATAACACGATAAGGGGTCGCGTTTTCTTTTCAACATACGCTGTATTTGAGCAACACACTTCAGACATAATAGAGAAAAACAGGCATTTGTCATACACATTTATCAAGAAACCGGCAAACCACAAACGATCACAATCTTTATCTACGCAAGTGAAATGTTTCAAAGGCATGATAAAGCAAACGGGCGTCATTAATGAGGCGAAAGACATGTCGTAAAACATAGGTCCCGCGACAATACTCAGCTGTGAAATGCAAGTTCTGTCGTAGATTAGCACACCAACAGAAATCCAGATTAATAACAAGTAATTTTTGCACCTGTCTGTTTTCGTCATAGAACTTTGCACAAATGTGCGGAAGTTCAAGTCGCCACACTCCATTTAGCACACAAAGCAAAAGAAGAAAGTAAAAGAAAAGCATAATAGAGACAGTAAGCAGAGGCGTGAAACAAAGGAAGAGTAATAACGAAGCACAAAACAGTTTCACTGGAAATCATAAATCACAAGGAATGGATGCATCTGCGCCACTGAGAAGGATTTTGAGACATGTCACCGATTGTTCCCAACCATTTATTCCCGACGACCCCAACCAGGAAGTCCACACCTTCCTACGTGGCTTAGACCAACTGTTGTGGATTTCATTGACTGGTGAGGCCAAGTTTTTGTTTGACCGCCGCTAGCTCTCACTTTTCCAGCCTGACCCTATATCCGTTAACATTGCTCGTCGAGGAAGGCGATGACTAGGCTTACGTAACACATGTCCTAACCATCTCAGTCTTTGTAACCTCACGACTTCGTCGATTGATTTCCCCTGTTTACCTAGCACTCGACGCCTAGCCTCAATATTGCTCACCTTATTATGCCACTTTACACGGGAAATAGAGCGCAGCCACCTATGATCAAAGACAGCTAGTCTTTTCATGTCTTCCACTCTCAATGGCCAGGTCTCACAGCCATAAAGGAGGACGGGGGGGACTGATGAGCAGTACACCCCCCCTTTGGTTGATAGTCGAATATTTCGTCTACGCCAGAGACGGCGTAAACTGGCAAATGCGAAACGAGCATACAAAACACGTTTAAGAATCTTCATAGCCCTAAAAAACTTAAGTATTTGATCCAAACCTGTTTTATATACAGGTTTACAGAGATTATTGAAACCAAATTTGTAACATGTCTCTATGGTGTGCTTTGTGACTGATGATCGACATCCATTTTCCGGATTAATCGAGTCCGGTGACTTTATTTGTTCTTGCAGCCACTTCGAAATGTGTTCTGTAGCTCTGACCTGAAGAGATCAATGAGTCCTTCCTATGTATGTGAGGCAATACATGTAAATACAGCGGAATGTGACACTATTATTCGAATACTTTTTCATTCGCCTTTTTCCACTACACTAGAACCTTTATCTGATCTGACAGTAAACCTGCTATTATTATGTTTTAGTTGTTTGACAGCTTGATAGTGTTCAGATGTAGGATACTTTTTTGAACTGTACGACCATTGCAGAATAGGTGAGCAATATCAAATAAGTTAGCTTTAAACCAACCATGTTGATCATCAGAAATGGGGACAAGAGACCTCAGTTGATCATATGGGTTCTCAAATTGTGCCTGAATTTCCACTTCTGAGGATCACTTTTCTGACCTCACATACATAGGGAGGACCCATAGATCTCTTCAGGTCAGAGCTACAGAACACATTTCGAAGTGGCTGCAAGAACAAATAAGGTCACCGGACTCGATTAATCCGGGAAATGGATGTCAATCATTATTTTTTTTATTTTTGATTTACAGCTTGATGCCACACCGTATGTTCGGTACAAGTATAGAATTTTCAGCATGCGATATCGGTAGCCCAAATTTTGCAGGCCGACCATAGATATCGGGTATGCGCCTGCAGGAGATCGAAATTCGGACCATGTGCATGGTCCCCGAGACTCCTAACCACTGTGCCATCATCTGTCACAAAGCACACCATAGACATATGTTACAAATTTCGATTTAATAATCTATGTAAACCCGAATATAAAACAGGTTTGGGTGAAATACTTCAATTTATTAGCGCTATAAGGATGCTCCCAAAATCCAACATCCTGATTACGAGCTAGTAGAAACCAGTGATTTCTTTGAGCTCGCTTCTTGATTGTGAGGTAGAGGTTCCAGATCTTCGGTGAGCTTCTGTGTAGTATGTCCCGCCACTTGACTGCTTTAGCTCTGGTAGACTCCAAGAGGAGTGGTGCGGGGATTGGTCAAGATGTGGTTTGTAGTCTGCAGTATGTTAGGACTGTGTTGCTGCCGTGAATGGAGTTTGACCTAACTCTCGTTGGTCATTCGGTGTAGTCATGAAAGCAGAATAATAATAATGATAAAAATAGGTTGTAGTGTAGATAATATGGGTTGAGATAAGTGAAATAATAAAGGTGACCTAAGGAAAAGATAGAGTAGTCGGTACAGTGAGAGAAGACAGAACAGGTCGTGGGGATTTAGTTTGTATGCTTATCCATTGACAGTGTGGTTTTAAGTTTTATGAGGATAAGCCATTGAGACACAAACCTTGCATTTCTGCATGATTGTCTAGCTTCCGCTTAAAAATCTCCAGAGATGGGGCTGTAGTCACGGCCGGTGGTAAAGCGTTCCAGAGACGGCAAACTCGAAGTGAAAAGAAATGTGATCGCACTCGAGCCTTTGGTCTCTGGTGTGCTATCCTTAGCGAGTTACCTCGTGGAAGCCTATAATCACTTAATGGCAGGATGCTTTTATTTGGGTGGGCCTGGTCATTTAAGATCTGGTAGACGGTGATGAGGTCTCCCCTGTGCCTACGGTAACTAAGTGTGAAAAGACCTAATTTCTTTAGTCTCTCCTCGTATGATTTGTTGCGGAGGCCGATCACCCATTTTGTCGCTCGTCTCTGGACACTTTCTAGAATGTTAGCATCCCTTTTGAGTAGCGGAGGAGCGATGATATTATACACCTCAAGGTGTGGCCTCACATATGTCTTATATAACCTTAAGAACAGTTCGGGAATAGGAGCTCCCAGCTGCCTGTGCATAAAGCGTAAAGTTGCGTAGGCTTTGGCGACGTCCCTCGCGTAATTTCCACTGGTGTCTAGCTTTTGTGTTAGAATAAGACCTAGGTCGCGCTCTGATGGAACACAACTCAAGTTATGGCCACCAAGGGTGTAATTTACACTCTGTGACCTGCCGGAATGAAGTTGCACTACTATGCACTTCTTTAGGTTGAAAGGCATTCCGTTAGCCAGAGTCCAGTCTCCCAGAGTTTGCAGGTCAGCCTGCAATCTATCTGAGTCTTCCGATGAGTTTATTGCTCTCCAAATCTTTACGTCGTCAGCGTAAAGAAGCTCAAAGCAGTTCAGTTGAGAGGGCAGGTCGTTGATAAAAATCAAAAACATCAACGGCCCTAGGATAGAACCCTGCGGAACCCCTGATGCCGAGGTGTGCCAGGATGATCGGATGCGGTTGACTTTGGTGCAGAATTCTCTCTCGCCTAAGTAACCTTTCAGCCATGCGAGAAGTGCTCCAGAAACACCCGCCTTGCTTATTTTGTGAAGGAGCAGACCATGGTGAACTGTGTCGAATGCCTTCGCAAAGTCGAGAAAGATCACATGGGCTGGTACCTTTTCGTCCCAGGATAGTGTCCAATCGTTCCAAGCTAGTAGAAGATTCGTCACGCAGGATCTTCCCCTCCTGAAACCGTGCTGTGCTTCGTGGAGAAGGTTAGTCCCGTCGAAGTATTTTCTCATGTGGTCGTCAATGAGACTTTCCAATATTTTCGATATCACTGGAAGTAGAGCAACTGGTCGCATTCTGCCGGTCACCACTCTTGAAGATCGGGGATAGGATTGCTCGTTTCCATTCACATGGAAGTTTCCCTACATCAAGGGAGTGTTGGAACAGATCACTTAGGGGTTGGCAGAGACTTTCTGAACACTGCTTCAGGACGGATGGTCTGATGTCATCACAACCTGAAGACTTTCCCGAAGCCAACTTTCCCAATTTTACAAGTACCATAGCCGGGGTAATTTGAAATGTACCCAGGGGGTTTTCGCGCGTTGGTTTTGCAATGTAATCTTGATGTTCTGTGGGGGTAATATCCTCGTTACTGTTTAGTTGCCTGTGAAAGGCTAGGCTGAATTTCTCTGCCATTTCAAGACTAGTAAGAGATTTCCCATCAGAACCCACTAGATTGCATGCCCCCTGGTTGGTCGGTTTTCTTTCAGACATAAACCTGTATAGGCTTTTTGGGTTCACGAGAAGCTTATTGGCGAGGTTTCCCTGAAATGTCCTCTATCGCTCCGGACTCGTATGTTACATCGATTCCTGAGTTCAAGGTACACTTCATGTTCGGGTTGACTCTTCGATCGTCGCCACGCAAACCAGGCTTTTCGCTTCGCCCGCAGAAGGCGTTGTGTCCCCCTTTTTAACCATGAATGTTGCTTCCTAGCTTTTGGTGTGATTAAAGGAACAGTGTCTGAGACCGCCTGGTGAATGATCTCCTTTACCACTCTCCAGTGTTCTTCTACTGTTAGCTCTGTCCATTTTTTAGGCCAATTTGCCTCAGACAGAAGTCTTCGCATTTTGGTGTAATTGGCTTTGTTATGACACAGACAGGGCTGTGTATTGTCCCACTGTAAGCGCTCGCGGAGGACTATGTCAAATACTATGACCGCGTGGTCACTACTACCTATGGGAGTCGTGATCTGAACGTTTTCCACTAGTAGCTGGTCACTAGTGAGCACATAATCCAGTCTAAAAGACTTCCCATCTGGGCCCCATCTAGTATCCATCCTGACATTTTCAGTGAATCCAGCCTTCCTGATGGTATGCAGTAGATTTCGATCAAATCTATCATGGGCGTTTCCCGACACCAAGTTAAGAGATGGGGCATTGAAGTCGCCAGCTATGACAATTTGATTATAACCCATGTCTTGAGTCGCTGAGATTGTATTTAGCAGTACCTGGTTGTGGTCTGCTCCACATGAAGGTGATCGATAAATGCTGCCCACTAGATATTTGCAGTACCCAACGGTGGCACCATATGGAGTCAGGGAGCTCAGTGAGGGGGGCATCGCGTGAACACATCTGAGCTGTTTGTCGACGTATATGGCGAGTCCATCTCCTTCTTTCAGGTCCCTATCTCGCCTAACTAGGACCATATCATTTATGTGAACACATAGTCAGGCGAGATAGGGACCTGAGAGAAGGAGATGGACTCGCCATATACGTCGACAAACAGCTCAGATGTGTTCACGCGATGCCCCCCTCACTGAGCTCCCTGACTCCATATGGTGCCACCGTTGGGTACTGCAAATATCTAGTGGGCAGCATTTATCGATCACCTTCATGTGGAGCAGACCACAACCAGGTACTGCTAAATACAATCTCAGCGACTCAAGACATGGGTTATGATCAAATTGTCATAGCTGGTGACTTCAATGCCCCATCTCTTAACTTGGTGTCGGGAAAAGCCCATGATAGATTTGATCGAAATCTGCTGCATACCATCAGGAAGGCTGGATTCACTGAAAATGTCAGGATGGATACTAGATGGGGCCCTGATGGGAAGTCTTCTAGACTGGATTACGTGCTCACTAGTGACCAGCTACTAGTGGAAAACGTTCAGATCACGACTCCCATAGGTAGTAGTGACCACGCGGTCATAGTATTCGACATAGTCCTCCGCGAGCGCTTACAGTGGGACAATACACAGCCCTATCTGTGTTATAACAAAGCCAATTACACCAAAATGCGAAGACTTCTGTCTGAAGCAAATTGGCCTAAAAAATGGACAGAGCTAACAGTAGAAGAACACTGGAGAGTGGTAAAGGAGATCATTCACCAGGCGGTCTCAGACACTGTTCCTTTAGTCACACCAAAAGCTAGGAAGCAACATTCATGGCTAAAAAGGGGGACACAACGCCTTCTGCAGGCGAAGCGAAAAGCCTGGTTTGCGTGGCGACGATCGAAGAGTCAACCCGAACATGAAGTGTACCTTGAACTCAGGAATCGATGTAACATACGAGTCCGGAGCGATAGAAGGACATTTCAGGGAAACCTCGCCAATAAGCTTCTCGTGAACCCAAAAAGCCTATACAGGTTTATGTCCGAAAGAAAACCGACCAACCAGGGAGCATGCAATCTAGTGGGTTCTGATGGGAAATCTCTTACTAGTCTTGAAATGGCAGAGACATTCAGCCTAGCCTTTCACAGGCAACTAAACAGTAACGAGGATATTACCCCCACAGAACATCAAGATTACATCGCAAAACCAACGCGCGAAAACCCCCTGGGTACATTTCAAATTACCCCGGCTATGGTACTTGCAAAATTGGGAAGGTTGGCTTCGGGAAAGTCTTCAGGTTGTGATGACATCAGACCATCTGTCCTGAAGCAGTGTTCAGAAAGTCTCTGCCAACCCCTAAGTGATCTGTTCCAACACTCCCTTGATGTAGGGAAACTTCCATGTGAATGGAAACGAGCAATCCTATCCCCTATCTTCAAGGGTGGTGACCGGCAGAATGCGACCAGTTGCTCTACTTCCAGTGATATCGAAAATATTGGAAAGTCTCATTGACGACCACATGAGAAAATACTTCGATGGGACTAACCTTCTCCACGAAGCACAGCACGGTTTCAGGAGGGGAAGATCCTGCGTGACGAATCTTCTACTAGCTTGGAACGATTGGACACTATCCTGGGACGAAAAGGTACCAGCCCACGTGATCTTTCTCGACTTTGCGAAAGCATTCGACACAGTTCACCATGGTCTGCTCCTTCACAAAATAAGCAAGGCGGGTGTTTCTGGAGCACTTCTCGCATGGCTGAAAGATTACTTAGGCGAGAGAGAATTCTGCACCAAAGTCAACCGCATCCGATCATCCTGGCACACCTCGGCATCAGGGGTTCCTCAGGGTTCTATCCTAGGGCCGTTGATGTTTTTGATTTTTATCAACGACCTGCCCTCTCAACTAAACTGCTCTGCGCTTCTTTACGCTGACGACGTAAAGATTTGGAGAGCAATAAACTCATCGGAAGACTCAGATAGATTGCAGGCTGACCTGCAAACTCTGGGAAACTGGGCTCTGGCTAACGGAATGCCTTTCAACCTAAAGAAGTGCAAAGTAGTGCAACTTCATTCCGGCAGGTCACAGAGTGTAAATTACACCCTTGGTGGCCAGAACTTGAGTTGTGTTCCATCAGAGCGCGACCTAGGTCTTATTCTAACACAAAAGCTAGACACCAGTGGAAATTACTCGAGGGACGTCGCCAAAGCCTACGCAACTTTACACTTTATGCACAGGCAGCTGGGAGCTCTCACTCCCGAACTGTTCTTAAGGTTATATAAGGCATATGTGAGGCCACACCTTGAGGTGCATAATATCATTGCTCCTCCGCTACTCAAAAGGGATGCTAACATTCTAGAAAGTGTCCAGAGACGAGCGACAAAATGGGTGATCGGCCTCCGCAACAAATCATATGAGGAAAGACTAAAGAAATTAGGTCTTTTCACACTTAGTTACCGTAGGCACAGGGGAGACCTCATCACCGTCTACCAGATCTTAAATGACCAGGCCCACCCAAATAAAAGCATCCTGCCATTAAGTGATTATAGGCTTCCACGAGGTAACCCGCTAAGGATAGCACACCAGAGACCAAAGACTCGAGTGCGATCACATTTCTTTTCGCTTCGTGTTTGCCGTCTCTGGAACGCTTTACCACCGGCCGTGACTACAGCCCCATCTCTGGAGATTTTTAAGCGGAAGCTAGACAATCATGCAGAAATGCAAGGTTTGTGTCTCAATGGCTTATCCTCATAAAACTTAAAACCACACTGTCAATGGATAAGCGTACAAACTAAATCCCCACGACCTGTTCTGCCTTCTCTCACTGTACCGACTACTCTATCTTTTCCTTAGGTCACCTTTATTATTCCACTTATCTCAACCTATATTATCTACACTACAACCTATTTTTATATTATTATTATTCTGCTTTATGACTACACCGAATGACCAACGGGAGTTAGGTCAAACTCCATTCACGGCAGCAACACAGTCCTAACATACTGCATACTACAAACCACATCTTGACCAACCCCCGCACCACTCCTCTTGGAGTCTACCAGAGCTAAAGCAGTCGAGTGGCGGGACATACTACACAGAAGCTCACCGAAGATCTGGAACCTCTACCTCACAATCAAGAAGCGAGCTCAAAGAAATCACTGGTTTCTACTAGCTCGTAATCAGGATATTGGATATGAAACTCATGCAAACGATCTTCCCTATATACTGCATAGTTTTTCGTGGCTCCCATGCGAATCGAAGTGAGAAAACGTTTCAAAGATAACAGGAAATTATCGGTGGATTATTATATGGGGTTCTATCGAAGCAATATTAACCAATTAATTATAATACTTGATAAGGGCTATTCGGCAGCACTACGGAGAAACGAAAATTGGTGCGAAAATGCGCTGTAGAACAAAGCTGGTTAATTGAAATTCAACCGTGAGAAGTACAGTTGAATCCAGTAGCACATACCTCACGAACTTGACCAAATCCCATCGACAGAAGCATGGAACCAACGGTTTGCGAAGGCCATCGTAGGTCACAATGACCTTGATTCACTTTTCAATCGTAAAACAAGACAAAATTATTTGGATCTGTTCAGTCCCAAATTAGCAGCAAGTGACCTTTGTCGTCCTTAGATTCCGAAGATAATCATCACTAAGTTATCTTACCACACATTTGGTTTTTCCCCTGGGAAGAGATCTGGACCTGCCTGTTATTTTTCCGGAACATGTCTGCTTCTAAAATTCTCCTATGGCACAATTCTCAGTAATAAAGCCATATTTCAGGCCTAGGCATGCGTTACAATCTGGTTTTCCTTCCTGAATCTCCGCTTGTATTATGTACCCCTTATGTTCCCGCAGAGATACTGTTATATTTGTCGGACTGATGAAGTTCATGACAGATTCCCTGTTAACACTCTACATACAATCCCAGTGCTTATTCGCCATTAGAGAGTGGCGCTGTTGTGGCTTAGGCGCCAAAATCAGTGCTTTCTTTATTCTTCCTTTACTAATGTGGCATAGGGAAAGGTAGTTACTCTTCGTTTAATGTTCGCATGCATTCGTCATCTTGAAATAATTTATAAAGCTTGACAGTCGGAGTAGATTAAATAGCCGTCTAGTTAAGCTACTGGGACGACTTTCAGTTGGATACCGGTTGGCTTCAACCAGATACAGCGCTCATGAATTCTTTATAGCCACTTTTTCCGCTAAAACTCCTCTTTGACCATGCTATCTGTCAACTCTTTAGCCTGGTCAACCTAAAGTGGTGGCTGTTCGTATGAGTGTTTCTAACGATGCCTTCGTGGTTCCTGTTATTTTTCGCTTACTACAGAGCATTTAGTTGGTTGTTTCTTTAACAGAACGACTGGAAGGTCGTTTTCCATGCATGGCGCTTTTACAGGATCGATAATGCAGTAGTCTTTGTGACTGTCTCTGTCTAAAACGAAGGTCAGATGGATAACATCTCCACCAGCGGCAACCTTAGGCACATGTAATTAAATACCTCAACAGACAGTTTATGGGTACAGCCAATGCGTCAGCGGTACACGTTTACGAGTAGATGATGACAGATAGGTGGGTCCGTGCCTATAAAAGGCATAGTAACGTCAACAGGATAAAAATCACCTAAATATGTTTGCATAAACCTACTTTCGGATGGATATGTCTGCCCCAAGAGATTGTAATCAACCCTCCATTTGCCACCTGTGAATTGAAAGTCGGTTGCTTCTGGCGGTCTGCCTCTGTGGCGAGAAGGACGCTGACTTCGACGCCTATGTCAACTGACAGGTCTTAGTAATTTAATCTCGATCATAATGTAGGTGGGTATAACTACCGACTATGGTTGCCTCAGATGCGTGTCGCTGGTGTAGCCTACAATGTTGTTTCATTTCCTGTTGAATTTGCAGGGTTTCCGGAAGCGTTTAACTTCCTAGAAATAGGTGTAATTAATAATGTGCTTCGTATAAACGGGAAAGTTTACGTGAAATGCATGCTATTTTTACAGGTACGATCAGTTATGTTACAAACTGCAATCCTGAAGCATCATAAATTTATAATAATAATAATAATAATAATGTATATTCTCATATAAACATATAAATTTACATGAAAATGCATGCCATTTTTACAGGCACGATCAAGTATGATATAATATCAAATCGTAGATTGTCTACAAGTTAATAATGTTTCAACAGTTAAATATTTGATATATATATAAATACACATTGTCTGAACTAGGCTGTATAGTTATTGAATTGTACAGTTGTCCTCCAGGTTGAGCGGGAAAATCGACTTCGTCTCGTTTTCATCCCGTGGTTGTCGGCATACGATAACCAACCAATATTGAGGTAAGTACAACGTTTACAAGGGATCGAAAGCTGTTTTAGAAAAGTAAAAGTGCTGAGGTGAATCATTAAATTGTAATGAAATAGGTAAGTGCAAGTATCATTAATAAATGCATTTTTCATGTTTTAATTGTTCGATAATGGTACAATCAATCAGAACAGGTTCTTACAAATGCTGAATTGTAGACCCTTCTCTAAAGTTACTATCAAAGTTGAGCGACAACCCAAACTTCGTTCCACTTATTGATGGTCGTTATGGCCAATCGATAAACAACATATATTTCAGTGAGTGTTATGTCATCACGCCACTGAACGCTGTTTGAGGAAGAGAAGAACGTCCTGGGCAGCTGCAAAATGTCATAAAATGCAGTTATGGATGATACATTACTGAAAGTACACTTACAAGATAAACACAAGAAGGTGCCATAAAGTACTTGAAAAAACAGTACACATTCGCAATGTTCACTGCCAACCGTATTGGTTTTACCATGTAAAACTATGACATTTTCGACGAAAATACAGTTATTCTCAGATATGGGTGTTGTTGTTACGTTTTTCTTCATCAAAGCAACCAGAATGTGGATGAAAAGAGTAAACTTTAGCTTTATAAAGGTCTAGGGAGCTGAGATTAAATCAAGCATAATAGCAATTAGATAAAAGGATTGTCGTGATGTATGCAAGTGACATTTCGGAGAGAAGCGGCTTGAGAGATTAGAACCTGTCGGATATGCTGACCTGTGAGATGTCTGACTAATCTGTTTATGACAAGGGGCTGATCATGCTTGTAGATGGCAGGAGCTAGAGAAGGTTTTTAAAATTTAGATCTGCGCAGTCATTATTATTATGGTGCCAATACCGATGGAGGTTCTTAGATGAACATAGGTTGGATTTCGATCAGTTACAAGATTCGCTACGCTGGAATGACTTTCTTGGGTGATTGGGAAAAACACAGAGACTGCTTGGCCTAAGTAATCGCTTAACAAGGCCATATAGCTTTGTCCTTTCAGAGTCACTGTTCGAAGGGTCGTTTATTGATCGAGCCAGCTACAATAACTGCCTGCCGTGATACTTCCAAAATTCTATCGGCCAAAGCGGCTAAATCGTTGGCAGCGACAACTTGAAGTGTTATGAGTACACCGGCCATGGTTTCCTGCAAGTTAAGAAAAAATTTAAGTTAGTGTTATTTGTACAAGTACTGCTTTCATTACCCTGCCTCCTCTCATTTGGAGGTCACGTCCTAAGCGCCTGAAGGAAGAACTGAGGACCCTTTCTCCTTAAATGGCTTTAACTTGATATTGACGAATTGTGATTGGTGGACTGACGGGGATGGGAATAATTTTAGAGAGGAATGTGCAGTGGGTTTCAGCCCGTGTAATTCTAGCTAGATTGTGGTTTCGCTATGTGCCCTTAGTATTCCCCACACGCTGCCGTCAAAGTGGCATGATATAGCTTAAGTCGCAGGAGCAGAAGACCAAGGTAGCGCGCGTTTTTAAAAGCGTGGACGCCCTGTATTCACCAAGACTGCTGTGCTTCGTCTATCAACGGTGGCAGTTAGAGTAATAGGAGTGGTGCCGGCTGAAAATGCAGAAAGATTGCATGAAAAGAGCTCACTCATTTGATAGCGCCGTTTTCGAACCAATCGCCAAGTTCTTCGACCAGATTTCTCAAAATAATAACATTTTTCATGGGGAACGTTTTGTTCTGAGTTGTTTAGGGATGGTGATGCCAATTTTTCGGCCCTGACACAATCTCACGGCGTTGCTGAGGAGCGCTGATGCATGATCGTCGTCCTATGGGCTCAAAGGACTAAGACAACGAGATGGCAGTTGGCAAAGGGCAGCAGCCTACACTTTTGAATCTCTTCACTAACTCCGGAGACACTGACTTATATCTCACTCGCGTGTGCAGCAAGTGCAATTCCATAGCATGCGTGTGAAGTCCTTGGGTGAGGCGTGAGCAGATACACCTGTCGCGAGCACAGTTAAAATTTGTAGGGAAAGCAGGGACGCTTTCTTTCTCACCTGATGCAGGTATTCAACTGCTTTCTTGCTAGGTTGTTGCTAGTGGTTAAAGAGGGAATGAGGGCGGGCGGCGTCCTACTGACGAATCCAAAGCATTCATCCAATACCATCCAGTTCTTCAGCAAGTGTGTTAATTAATGAAAAACCTGCAGTGATCGCTCGATGGAGAGCATCATCATTCAGAGCCAACGTGATCCGCGCACACTGATCCTGTGGTGAGAAACGCCTGAGGACTCACCGTATACAGAACTTCCGGAGTTTCTAGTCCCATTTGCTGTCCAGAAATGGCACTCCCTGCATTTGTCTATATATGGATATGGACACTCTACATTGTCAGCTGGAAAGTCGGTAATCTACTCCGGTCAACCAAACGACAACCACGAGCATACTGGGGGATTAGCTACCGTGATGTCAACAGGCACCCAGGCGTTTCCTTTGTGGGAACCAATCTTCTCCAGGATTATGGCAGCAAGATTCAAATTGAAGGGCAAGAAGGTGACATTCCTCCTATGCTACTTATACACAAAGAACTCTGAACAAGAGAAGTAGGAATATACCCATAGACAGCTGCAAAGGCAAATTGTTATTATCATTTTTCACTTAACTATGATGCATCGTTTCAACTACAGAGGGAGACATGGAGTGTGATCTCAAAACCAGAATCCGGTAGGCAAGATATATGTTCATCACTCTAAAATCAGTCTGGAAATCTTCTGTACAACATAAACAGGAAGATTCGGATTTTCAGCATCGAAGTTAAGCCAGTCACTTCTTCTATATGGGTCAGAAAATTGGCGCATCACGGAAAGTATTTTCAGCAGGTCTCAGAATTTTAACAGAAGCTGCCCTTACTCTTTATTGACTGTCAAGTGACCAGAAATAATTGGCAGCAGGAAACTCTGAGAACGAAACAATCAAGAACCTATCATCCAACAAATATCCCGAAGAAAACTGATATAGATCAGATGGATATTGAGGGGAGTGTCGAATGACTTCACATCTCGTAACATTACTCAAGGAGAACCAGAGAGCTGAATACCGAGTTTGGCGTTATTCTGAGGGTAACATGTATCAGTGCTTCCCCAGTAAAACTCTCACCAACCACCCGTGTGGTCCGCGATTCAATCCTCCCAAACCTCACTAAGCTGGTAACCAGACGGGTAAATAGGGAAGGTTAGGCATGAGGCTTGCACTTCGACCCCTCAAAAGCACCACCGCTACCAAAACTTCAGAGGTGTAGCTTGAGGCTTTATGTTACACTGAGAACGTAAAGGAATAAAATAATACTAGCGCGGTTGACGTGGAGGAGATCATGACAAAAGGAGATGAGAGACTACTGTCAAACATGGAGTCAGCCAAAGTGTACTTCAGTGAGTAGGACGAAGTGAAGATGTGCTGTTGAAGACGTACGTTTCACTTGGAACCCAACGGGAAAACGGTAATTATAATTTGCGGTTATGAATTAAATCATTCAAACAGATGGTTTGTAATCATCACTAATTAGCATTAACGCCTACCTAATTAACCACACATCGGGCACAGACAACTAAAAGTAACACAACACTTGTCAAACGATGCGGGTCCTCGACGGCGTAGTTTCAGCCTAACACGTTGACCAATACAGTGGAGGTCATCACCTAAAGCTAGATAATGATGTCGAAACTGTAGGCTAATGATTTTGGGAAATTTTTCATCTCCGCAATCTCAGTTCGCAAGATTTATCTCATATCCTATTTTATATGCTTTTTAAGTAGCTTGCTATACTACGACAGCTTAGAACTTCAGGGTGTGATCTTCAACTTCCAGCTTCTGTTTTATCCACATGATGCATTTTGCCTCTCTTATAATATCCTCCAAAGCACTGACTTCCTTTGAAACTGATTGCACAGTTATGAGTTTGTTTTCCAAACAGGAAGTGAATACTAGATATAGATGGAATTATCTACGCAGTCAGTGTGCAGCAACTATAATTACGTCTGTCTACTGTGGACTCATCTGATTGGTAGCTCAAGGTTACTAGGGCGTTTCGTTGAGAGTCACCAGTACAGAACAGACATCAACCGCAGACGGCCTTGCAACCACCAATCAGATTCTTCTAGGTGAAAAGTGGTAATTAATTCACAAAGAAGTGTATATAAGATTTATATGTAATAAAAACTGAATCACACATGGTGTATATCTCTAATATGCCGCAAAAACTAGTCCTATATTCGCATGGCAGTGGTTATGGGCATATCTAAACAATTTATTCTCTATTTCTACAGCTGTAGCAAATATTGGTTGCATATACGCAATATGTTACTTTAGAGGTTGACGGAATTCTCTTACACAGCCTCTAACCTATTTGTTCTCGCGTACCAAAGACAAAGCAAAAGCCAATATTTGATCGTCCAAACTACGTGATATATTTCGGGACCAAAACAAGCCGTCAGACGAACGCTTAGCTGGCTAGTGATCGTGCACGTGACACGACGGGGTACCAAATGGCGGGGATGCTTGACTGGAAGCCTTCAGCTAAACAAGTCGACTTAAACAGTGGTGGTCAGCATCCAATGGTGAGTGATTGCTGTGGTCAATAATTTTGGGGAATTATTTACCGCTACAGATCACTGCTGTCCCAGCGGGTTTGTGAGGACCCTATGACAGAACCAGCCGGAAGTAAAAAAACTCGATGGTTCCCTTTCGGGTGAAAAAATCCTCCGAGCCGCTTGGTGGCGTGCCTACTGGTCTGCCTGCCTATGCTAATAGGGTGTTTGTACATAGATTCCTTGATGTTGTTCGTTGGATCCCATGCTTCGTTTGTTTCCTGTTCAGTGCCCGTCGCGCCTGGAAAAGAAAACAAGAACGCTAAGAACCATGTCGAGGAAAATGTACCAAATCGGCTTTATTTTGTTTTAAAAAAATGATGTGCATTTACTATACAGTAAGATAATGCTAAGTTGGGAGCACCGAAAAAAATACATCTAATTGAAATTTTTTTGTGCCTGTTACATGTACTGTTGAAAAAAATTAGTTGTGTTTAGTGATACTGCATAAAAAAATTGATACGTCTAAAAAAATAGTTAGTACCACAAACGGATGAGTTGCTTGAATCACACGACTTCGTTATGTCATATAGGTGTACAGATATTCTGGGAACCTTACGGTGAGTCCAGAACGGGTTTTCGTAGGAGGCTCAACAGAAGATTCGGAAGCTGTCACCGTGCTAGTGACTTCATCGATGTCTAAACGATCTTCGGTTACTCCTGGATTATGGGGTACGTTGAGCTCTATGCTAATAGGATTACCCTCCAAGTAAGCCGGTTTCAGACGGTCAATGCTGACGATGTCCTCGCGGCCTATTTTGTCCAAGACGAAGAGTTTATCCGAACGTTTAATTACTTTATAAGGTCCGTCGTATGGAGGTTCTAGAGGTCTGCGCACAGAGTCGCGACGAACAATTACATGTGCAGAAGTTTTTAAACACGGATGAACGAATACATCAGTGGACTGTGGACGAAGGGGAGCAGGTTTAACTGAACGCATTGCGTTTGTAAGCCTGCTGACGTAAGAAGCGTGATCTGCCACTGGTGGGAAGCTCGAGGGAGAAACAAATTCGCCGGGCAATCGCAGTGTCGTGCCATATACTAGCTCGGCGCTAGTGCAACCAGCATCGGTTTTCAAAGCGTTTCGTATCCCTAGAAGGACTAACGGAAGGGATTCAGTTCAATGGTTATTGTTTGCAGCTGACAGACCAGCTTTCAACTGTCTGTATAGACGTTCTACCATACCATTAGCTTGAGGATGGTAGGCTGTTGTTCGAAAACGCATGCAACCTATGATTTTAGTCAGGGCGAAGAATAAGCCACTTTCGAATTGCCGCCCGCGATCAGTTGTTATGGAAGATTGGCATCCAAAGTTAGCGATCCATCTTTCGACAAAGACGCGTGCGACTGTTTCAGCAGATACATCCTTGATGGGTACTGTTTTCGGCCATCGTGTGAATCTATCAATGCAAGTTAAAATATAGGTATATCCATGGGATTCAGGAGGGGGTCCAACCAAATCTATATGGACGTGTTCAAAACGAGCGTCAGGGAGAAGAGAGGTGTCAAGTGGGCTTTTGGCGTGTCATATTACCTTGTACCTTTGACAAACTAAGCACGTGTGTGCCCATTCCCTTACTTCTTTATTAATGCCAGGCCAACAAAAACGACTAGTTACTGATAGGATCCCACACATTTTGTTATTGACTGTTAATCTCGCATAGATGGTATTATCATTTCTCACGCACTTTGTTATTGACTATTACGATCAATTATTTCAAATGCTGTTAGCTGTCTATATTGTTGTAAAATGTACAAATACCATGACTTTCTTTGTCGTTGTTGTTGTACTACAATACACAGTCACAGTCCAGTCTTTGTCTTTTGATATTTGCGTGGTTCACTGAATCGGAAGGTACCACAAGCAGATAGGCATATTAGTCAGGTGCAGACAGAACAAGGCGACAACGTCCTCATCTAATTCCCTACAGTTATAACAGTTACGAGCCTGATAGTAGTCCGAATACCTTGGTCGGATAAGCTATGCAACGCGTTGAAGATATTACGGTGATAACTACTAGGAACGATGGGGCGAGGAGTACTCGTGGAAATGTCACATAGAATAGTATCTCTTCCCGTACCTAAGGGTTTCTCAGCTAATTGTAGAGTTGTTTTCGACAAATCATTTTGAAGCTCGGTATCTTCTTTTTGAAGACGAGCCAGTTTTACAAGGTCTATGCCGTCGATGTGGGTGAGGGAACAAACGCGCGGCAAGGCATCTGCCACAGTGTTGTTTACTCCGGATACATGGCGAATATCTGATGTAAACTGTGAAACGTAATCCAGTTGTCGTGATTCCCTAGGTGAATACTTATCTGAAGGTGAGTTCAGAGAGTACGTCAGAGGTTTGTGATCAGTAAAAATTATGAATTCACGACCCTCTACTGAATGTCGAAAATGACGTATAGCACAGTACATAGCCAGAAGTTCTCTGCCGAATGTGCTGTACTTCGTTTCAGCTAATTGAAGGCGCTCGAGAAAAAGGCGAGTGGTTGCCACTCTTTGTTAACTAGCTGTTGTAGAACTGCGCCGATTGCAGTGTTTGATGCATCAACCGAGATACTTAACGGTGCCGTTGGATCCTGATACATCAGAAGTGTGGCATTCGCAATAGCTTTTTTAATCTGGGTAAAAGCATTTCGAGCAGACGCGTCAAGTTCTATGGACTTGTTATTCCCTCGAAGAAGGTCTGTCAATGGCTGAATCAAAGAGGCACAGTTGGGAATAAAGCGTCGATAATAACTTACTAAGCCGTTAAAAGTGCGGAGACTTTTCACTGTCTGTGGCTCTGGAAAGTTCAGTATAGCCTCGACCTTAGTAGCCAGTGGGCGAATGCCCTTGCAGTCAATAGTGTGACCCAGAAAGTCGAGTGAGTCAACACCGATTTGACATTTTGAATATTAATGGTAACACCATGTTGGCGTAACCTTTCAAATGCCAAGTCCAAGTGCCTAAGGTGAGTTTCCTTGTCTGGACTGGCAATGAGGCAGTCGTCTAAGTATGCGTATACAAAGTCGAGACCGCGAAATACTTCATCAATGAAGCGTTGGAATGTTTGGGCTGCATTCCGGAGACCGAATGGCATACGTAGAAATTCAAAAAGTCCGAAAGGCGTAATGATAGCCGTTTTCGGGATATCTTCTGTTGCCATCGGGATTTGGTTATACGCTTTAACCAAGTCGATTTTAGAGAATATAGTCGCGCCGGATAAGGTTGCCGTCAAGTCGTGTATATGAGGCAACGGGTAGCAATCAGGGGTTGTTTTGGCATTCACTCTCCGGTAATCACCGGTGGGTCGCCAATCATTGCTATCCTTTTTCGGAACCATATGAAGTGGGGATGCCCATGGGCTATTCGAAGGTCGAATGATGCCAAGGGTAAGCATATGGTCAAATTCATTCCTGGCGATTCTCAGTTTGTCAGGAGCTAGTCGTCGTGCTTTAGATGTCACAGGTTGTCCTGTGGTAATGATGTGGTGCATAACATTGCTGGTTATGCACGGTAGGTCGTTCGACGGGCAATTAATTTCCAGGTACTCATCAACAACGGTTGAAAAGTTGGATCAAGGATTGCCTTTATCTTAACGGGTGATAAGCTGGGCCTATGCAGGTATGCCTTTGATAGACAGACTAGTAGTATTGTCAATCAGTCGTTTTCGGCGGACGTCTACGAGTAAATCATGATGATTAAGTAGGTCCGTGCCAATGATGGGCATTGTAACGTCAGCGAGAAGGAAAATCCATCGAATAGGTTTGCGTAAACCTACGTTCAGATAGACGTATTTTCTACCAAAGGTTGCGATTGGTTTTCCATTTGCAGCCTGTAAGTTGAAGGTAGGTTCCTTCTGTCGATCTGCTGCTGTAGCAGGAAGGACGCTGACTTCGGCGCCTGTGTCGACTAAGTATCGAGTCTGGCTTATCACATCATGGATGTAAAGTAGGCGGCTAGTGCCACCGGCGACGGTTGCCGCTAACGCGTGCCGGCGGGATAGTTTCCCGCAGACTTTGAGACATTTCCGAAGTTACAAGGCTTACGGCAACACTTCGCTTCTTGGCCATAGGTGTTGTGGTACCAGCACCAGTCAGGGTTTTTCAGTGAACGTGGTTTGGACTTAGATCGACCACGTGAGTTCCTGCGTTGAGGAGATTTAGGACGACGGTCGGAGGAGTTAGAATGCATGTTTGACCTAAACATCTGCTGGATGGAGTTGCATAACTCTATCATTGCAGGATCCTTACTCGAAGTCTGCTTAGTCATCGAGCATATTTCGGGAACTGACCGTTTAGTTATTTCTAGAATCCTATCTGCAGAAATAGCTAAGTCATCTATTACAACACCCTGAAGTGTCACAAGTACGGTCTGTACAGACTGTGGCAGCTTGGTTAAGAAGAGTTCTCTAAATAGTCCTTCGTCGAACTGACTTTGGCCAATAACTTCTCTCATTCTTGTCAGCATGCTCACAGCTGACTGATCCCCTAACTCGATGTTACGAAATAATTCATCCAGACGTTGTCGGTCCGTGAGAACGTTCCTCCTGAGGAGGGATGCTTTGAGCAACTCGTACGAGTTACTTACCTCGGGACTCAACATCTGTGATGTTACGTACTTGCTGAATTCCCGCGGTAGGGCGTGAATAACTGCAAGTAACTGTGAACGTTGATCGGTTATCCCATGCTCACAAAAATCTGCTTCAGCTAGCTGAAACCACGTTTCAGCATTATCTGGCCAGTATGGTAGAAGCTGAATGGTTTTAGGAGTTGAGCGGATACGAATGACCTTGGGACTAAGATCACTCATGACGAAAATTATGTCGAATAATATATGGTACAAGAACAAATACAAAATGGAACGAACTCACCGGGGTTATCTGCGGATTTATCGTGGATGAAGTTCGCGGTTGGGCCCACCAGTTTAGAGGTTGACAAAATTCTCTTACACAGCCTCTAACCTATTTGTTCTCGCGTACCAAAGACAAAGCAAAAGCCAATATTTGATCGTCCAAACTACGTGATATATTTCGGGACCAAAACAAGCCGTCAGACGAACGCTTAGCTGGCTAGTGATCGTGCACGTGACACGACGGGGTACCAAATGGCGGGGATGCTTGACTGGAAGCCTTCAGCTAAACAAGTCGACTTAAACAGTGGTGGTCAGCATCCAATGGTGAGTGATTGCTGTGGTCAATAATTTTGGGGAATTATTTACCGCTACATTACTAAGGGAGATTTTTGATTTTGGGAAGAAGTGTCTTAAACAATCACCATTGATGTACGACTTACCAACCCTTACAGACTTCCTCATATAACAGTTGTTGCATATGAATATATAACCATCAATAGCCCGGCAGTAAGTTTGCAGAGTCATAATCCCTCCACATATGCAGGCTAAGTCCTCCATATCAACCCATTACACCTAAATGAATAAAGTGATGTCCGTTTAAAGTGGTCACCAGATGATGGGTGACACAATTTTCTGATCTTAATAATCAACTGAAGTCTATCAATTAAGTGTGGAATATTATCATCAAACCAATTGCCACGACACTCATATGCCCTGTAGTTTGACATTAGGTGTTATTAGGATTTATTTGACACAAAACCTTCGATCTAGGTTATCAACTTGAAAGACACTGAGGGAGCAAACATATCTGCAGTTCGGAGGAAACTCATATTCACTGTGAGATTTAAACTTGCTTCAATCAATACCGATATCAAATAGCTGACTACTAAGTTTACAAGGTCGTAAATGATCCTGTAGAGAGCATAATTGTGTGTTGGTTGATGTATCAGTGTAGTCCTAAATCCCATTCTAAATTCATGGATTAGTATGTAGTAAAGAAGCTAAATGGACCTGAATAGTTTAATACCATAGTTGATGACTTTACTACTGACAAAGGAATACAAGTCTCTCTAAGGTTGCATATGTGTTGTTCTTATGAAT